AATTTAAACATTAAAAGGATGCTGGAGAATATATTTGTAGTGTGGATGGTGTTGAAGCTAAGCTCAATTTATCTGTTCATTCACCTTCCATTCAAATTCAACCTGTTGAGATTGGTTCTCATTATGTTGCGTTAGTATGGAATGATTCTTTAAAAGTTGGGAATTAATTTTTAAAAATTAAAAAAAAATTTAGATACGGGCTTTGGAAAGGGTTCAATTATCTCTTCAAATTAGAGATTCAATTACTGGGCAAACCGGTAGAATCACTCAGCTATCTCTTTATAATCCTTGGCATAGCTACAATGTTGTTAGACTTCGTCCACTAACTGTTAGTTGAAAAACATTTTTTAAAAATGTTTATTTCTTAACTAAACATCAACAAAACATTTTTCAAAACATCAAAACTTTCTTAAAATCGCATCTATTAATACATATTTTTTAATCTATTAATATTTATGACGTTCAAAACACTAAAAGCATGTTTCACAAACATCTAATAAACCCAATTCATTAAAGCATCAGGACAATTATTACGTTATATTACTTATAAAATACCGTATTTACTCGAATAATTCCCCACTCTCGGATAATTCCTCCTGCTACGGATGAGTTGAAACAATAATCCCCCTCGCCCAAATACCCTACTACACGCTCAAATCTCAAAACCCGAATAATTTCTTTCCATTGAATAATTCCCCATGCCACGGATGGGTTGAAAAAATAATTCCCAAGGGGAATTAATCGAGTAAAACGATATGTTAATAACTAAAAATTTGGGTATGATGTTATAATACCAAAAGCTTGAAATACCAAAATTTGTAATACCAATAGCTTGAAATACCAAACCCCCAAAAGATGTTGAAATACCAAACCGTGTAAAATAGCTTGTAATACCAAATAAATACCAAAACTATTATTATTCAATTTGTTACTAAAACTGTGGAATTTTTTGTTATTTATCTCCCGGCAGAATAACTTGTTGGTTTTAGCCTGTTGGCTTTTAGTCTTCGCTGGGAAAACTGTTCTTGTGACAAGCTGATTTTTGGAGTAAAAAATTCGAATATACAAATAATAGCTCATTTGAAAGGGCTCGGCGAGCTGAGTTGAATAACATCAAAATCAGCTCGATTAGATGATTATGAACAAAGTTATGACCAACTAAATCTTCGCTGGAAAAACTGTTTTTGTGCTGCTACGGAGGGTAGGCCGGGCATGGTCTTCGCTACACGATGGCCGTGCTTCGCTGCGGTCGTGCTCGCTTCGCTCGCGGCGACCGTAGCGAAGCGGCGGCCGTCGTTCCGCTCGACATGCCCGGCTTCCTCCGCAGCGGCAAAAACTTTTTTCCGCGAAAACCTTATGTGAAAGGTTTCCACACTTTGTATTATGAAGGATTTTGGAGGAGGATTATATTATACACAAAGAGGAGTTTTATAAAATTTTTTCAACGGTTTGGTATTTCAACAGCTTTTGGGTATTTGGTATTACAAGCTTTTTTCCACGGTTTGGTATTTCAACAGCTTTTGGGGGTTTGGTATTACAAGCTTTTGGTATTATAAAACGCTCCGAAAATTTGTTCATAAACTGAAAAACTTTTTTAATCATTTATTTCAAAAAATCCAGAAATTAATTATTTTCAGAACTACACAATTTGCCTTGTTTACAGCTTACGCTCAATTGAAGCAAATAGTGATGTACACAATACCAACATAGATTCTTCTGCTAAATTGTTATACAAGAGTTGTATTGATGTTAAAACTTTAGAACAAATGGGGTTTTGGTAGAAAATTAATTTTAAATATTTAAAAATTAAAAAATTAATTTTAAAGGTCCTCCTTTAGCCCAACAACTATTGTTATTTTTTGTGTTTTAATTTTTATTTGTTGCTTTCTTTTCTGTTTCCGTGCAATTTATATGCATTTTTATATATGGCACGATGCGAAGATGCGGTGATTATTAAAAAACTTTATTTAAATTATTTTTTAAAGTGCCCGAATGAATCAAAGCATGAGCGGACAAAGTTTCCTTTCACATTCATCTTCCCTTCCGTTACCTACAACAACGAATTCAAACGGGATAAATAATGGTCATAATTCAGGTAGAAACAAATTTAATTTGAACACACTATTAAACGAACAAAACATTTAAATTACATATAAAAAATGTTTTTCAAACCTTTAAAACAAGTTCATAGCAAAATTAATAAAATGTACAATTCATTTATAAAGCATTAATATACATAAGTATAACATGTTTCAAAACATTCCTTAAAACATTGTTTAGAACTTTAATAAAACACGATCAGGAACAGGGGTGAGCGCAAGAGACAATCTCAAAAAACGCAAAACGCAACGCAAGGCCAAAATTTAACGCAAATAAAGCAAGACCCAGAACGCAAGAACGCAAAATTGGGAAAAAATTTTTTAAATTAAGTATTAGCCAGATTTCTCCAATTTTGTCCTCAGATTGGGTATATTTTTTGCATTAAATTCATCGAAAAAAACGCAAAAAAAGGCTAAAATTTAACGCAAATAACGCAATTCGCTCACTCCTGATCAGGAATTCTATAAAAACATGCTCATATTATTATTAAAACATGTCTAGAACCTTAATAAAACATCTTTAGACTTTAATAAAACTTGTTCATATTATATTTAAACATGTTTAAACATGTTTTTCTCAATAAAACAACAAATTTATTAATTAATTATAGGTACCCTATCCCACCCTAACGAAACATTTTTTGATTCAAATTCGGCAACACTAAACAAAACATCATTAATAACCGAAACAGACACGGAAAGTTTTCACAAAAAAAGTTCAATAAATAAATTGTCTAAAATTAAAAGAAAATCAAAACTATCATCAAAACAACAAATAAGAGGGAATTCATTGTTTTTAATGGAAAATTCAGGGGAAGAGAAACATTTAAATAAATCAACGGAAAATATTGCTTTGTGTTAATTTTTAATTATAAATTATTTTTTTGTTTTAATTAATTTATAATTTCAATAAATTACTTCTAGTCAATTAAAATAAAATTTTTTTTATTTAATTTTTAAAAATTTTTCATTTACTAATATTAAATAATAATTTCAAAACAATTAAAAATTATACCTTAATAAATCAAAATTGTACATGTCGATCCCCGTTATATCTGCAGGTATAAATTTATATTCTGATTATTTATATAATCAAAGTACATTTATATAATCAAAGAAAATCAAAATTAATCTCAAAACAACAAATAATTAATTCCTCTGTGGAAAAATCCAACCCTTCCTTGGTAGATAAAGATAAGTCATTAATGTATCAAACATGGAAGCTAAAATGTAAAAGTACTATAAGAGGTGGAGTAAAATATGAAAATAATTGTTTCGAAGGTGATTGTATTCTCGAAGGTAATTCCTGCGACGTTGAAGGCGACAAGTACCTTAAAAATACATACCGTATTTTCTCGATTAATTCCCCTGGGGAATTATTTTTCCAACCCTTCATTGGCACGGGAATTAATTGCTAGGGGGGGGGGTTATTCGAGTTTTGGCATTTAGGGGTGGGGAATTATTGTTTCAACCCAACTCTACCCTGAATTATTAATCGAGAGGAGGAGTTATTCGAGGGAGGGGAATTGATCGAGAAAATACATATACAGCTAAGAAATACATATAAAATACATATACAACTAAAACAGAAAGAATAATCTAAAAATTGGTTCCATACAATTGAGATAAAGCCACTTTATTGTTAATGTCATATGACACTTTCCACATGATAGGACGCGATACTTTTTTATTTGAACAACAACTGAAGCATTTTTAGATTTAATTTTTAAATTTTTATTTGTTTTAAATTTAGGGGCCATATATTTATTGCCGTTTAAATAATAAAAAGTCAAATAAAAAAATCCGAATCAATTTTTTTGAGAACGGCGTGAGCCAAAAGATTAGGTTTGGCTCATTCTAAATTTAAGGGATTTTGGGAATAAAAGGCTTTATATTTATTTAAACAGCTAAAAATAAATAACTGAATTTAAAAATTAATTTTAGAAAAAAAATTAGAAGCAAAAAATATATCTACAATTGGTCTTCAATTTTTATTCTTTTAAAAAAGATTTTTTAAGCTAAATTGGCCACTTCATTTTTAAATTTTATTTAATAATTTTCTTAATAAAAACACAAAAGAAGCGTTTTACAGTAAAAACTAACTGGAAAACTATTCCTTAAAATTAATAAATATTTACCTAAATTTGAATTAAATTTCTAGAAAATTTAAAATAAATTTTATAAACTATAACATATTTGTGAAATCATTTTATTGAAAATTATGATTTATTTTATTCAAACACATTTTCTTAATAATTAATCGTAATTTAGGATTAAGGTAGTACAGTGCGCGGCATAACTATACGTCCACTCAAAATTTCGGGTTTATCACATTAAATCGCAATAAAATTAATGAAAATATATTAGATTGGGATAAGGCGGTCCTTTTCATACTAAAACTCAAGTAAGCAGTCAAATATTTAAACAACAAATAGCAATTTTTAAGCATTTATGCCAAAACTCACGCGTCATAACTATACGTCCACTTCTATTTTCGAGATTAGGAGTGGTCTGAAAAATCTACAAAAATTCCTGTAAACATATCTATTAATATCAATAGAAAATACAAAAGAAACTAAGTTCTAATATATCTCCTTCATCGAGATCTGAAAACCCAAAAATCAATGGAAAACCGGGTTTAACGTCTTTAGAAAATATTTTCGACCCCTTAGAGACCGTATTAAATTTTGATTTCATACTTTTCTGAAAGCCCTTTAAATTTGCTCGGTTCATTTTTTTCACGATCGGTTCATTTTTTTCATAAGTGTTTTTCAAGCCTAAAATTTTTCCTAATCAGGTGTCGGTCCGCAAGTGTGTCCCCAAAAGTATATTCAAAAATATGATCATCAGCTCTTAATTTTTTTTATATTTGAAATAATAATTTAAGAATTTAAATAAAAAATGTTTGCTTCTTCAACCAAAATTTGTTTATTTTTTATTTCAATTTTTTTATTATTCCAATTAAACAATAGTAAATGTGTTGATATTGATAATCACTGTAGAGGAAATGGCAAGGGAAATTGTTGTGTTGGAAGTTGTGTTAAAGGAAAATGTTATTGTGCTGCATATGGTCTTAAATGTACAGGAAAGGGACAGGGCAATTGTTGTGCTGGAAGTTGTAATAATGGAACATGCTGTATTAATGAGGGACATGCGTGTAGTGACAGTAGTCATAATAAGAAATGCTGTCCAGGTACAAGTTGTGATGGATTTATTTGTGTTTGAAATGAAATGAGAAAAAGATGCGTATGAATGGGGATATAAAAATATTATTTGGCAAAGTAAAAACTTTTAATTTTCCTTTCTTAATTTGGCTGTTAAATTCTTTTCTATAAACTTACAAGGGATATAAAATTAAATGATAATAAAAAATTACATAGTATTTCATTTATTTAATAAAAATAAAAAGATAATTAATTTCGGTTTAAATTAAATTATATTATTTTCTTATGTGTATTTTTTAAAATAAAAAAAAATTGTAAAAGCTTATTTTAGCAGGTAATTGAAACTGAGGGTAAAACTTTATTAATTTTTGAATAAAATTTCAAAAAAATTAATTAACAATTCTATACTTTTATTTTTAAAATCACAAAGGCTTTACAATATTTTAGAAAAAATAAATAACAATATTAATGTATTTCGGCATTAATATCACTCCAATATTATAAACAAATTCCTTTTATTTATTTATACATTCCTTCAACCACCTCTTATACTTTCGGAGTTCCAGTCTTTCCCTTTCCTCCATCTGAACTGTTGACCAAAAATAAGCAAACTGAACAGCAAATAGTTGAGACAATCCTACAAAATTTTAATTTTATTTTTGAAAGTTTGTATGATTAAAGCTAAAGATTGGACTGAGACGGCATCTCGAACAAAAATCTCAGTTATCGAGTATTAAGATATTTTGTCGGTTTTGACTCTTCTACGACCCTTCCAGTCCACTCTCTAGTTATTTCAAAAAAATTCTTTAAGATAAACTTACAAGATAAGAATAGAGGCAGCAATCATTAAGGAAGTTAAGCTCCTTCCTGAAGATTTCGTACTAGCAATCCTTTTAATTTTTGAAATATTCTCCTCTTCATAGCTCGTTGAATCAATGGATTGTTGAAATATCGAAGTTTCAGTTGAAGTATCGAAAGTTTGACTTTTGGTCATTTCTTCTGAAGTTTTTGTTTGTTGCTTTTCGGTAGTCTGTTTTGTAGTTATAGTCGTTGTCTTTTTGTTTGGATTAAAAGGAACGAGAAGTTTATAGTCTTGACTTGACTAAATAAGATAAATTTTATTTCGTTTACACCCAAAATAACCTACAAATTTGACAAACATTTTCTCACATTTTTGCATTGTTGCTTCAAGATCACAATCTTCTCCACAATGCTCCCAAATATTTTGCATACTTTCTCTCATTGCTTTTACTGGAAGAATGTGGAAGGTTAAAAGATTTTGGTATTTTTGATCTATATAATTTGAATCCACAATTTTCCATCCTTCCGCACTGCGAATATTTTGCTTTTTGAAACAAGTTGTGTCATGAAACCATATACGTTTGCCGCAGAATTTGATTTTACTAGATCCTAATTTGAAGAATAAAATATCTATAGTTGCGCTTGAATCCTTCATTTTTGAGGTTTTCTCGCATGGGTATATACCAACTTCGCCAACTTTAAAAGAAATTTTTAATTAATATTCAGATTAGAGTTTTTACGTGGTTGGTAGCTTGCAATCACATTTCCATCTGACAAAGCCCATCCAAAGGAATAATCAACTATCTGCAAACATTTACCACCAGACCCAACACAACTTTTTTCTTCTCCATCTGCACAATCATTATTATTACCATACAAAGGCCCTTTCTTAATCCTATCGAATTCGCCGTTTTTTAGACTGAAGAAGAAGACCAATCTAAATAAATAAGAGTTGGGCAGTATTGGGATTCAGAGGAAAAATCGGTATCGGTAATTATGGAATGATGATACAGCTAACAAGCTCGGGACGGCGATTGGCCGTAACTTGTATCGTGATTTGGGCATCTCGGTATTAGTATCAGCAAAATATGTATCGCGATCAGGGCTGATCGAAATTTCGTTTCGTTTCGTTTCGTTTCGCTCTTTCGTGCCCTTTTTTCCATTTCGTTTCGTTTCGGAACGAAACAGAAAAAATTTTATTTCGTTTCGTTTCGAAACGAAATAGCCAAAATTCCGGACGAAACGAAACAAAAAAAAGTGAGAAAATGCACCCTTAATGACGTGAAATTATGGAATAAATCATCAATTTTTTAGTGATTTCTGTCTTATGAGCAGCCTAAAATTAAAAAATTTTCGCTTGCGGCGCTGAAAATGGAAGAAATTTGGCTTCTTGAGCTCCAACATTCAAAAAATTTTCGCCTGCGGCGCTAAAAAAGAAGCTTGTACGGGTTTTGCTAGAGCAAACCAGCCTTCCTTTGCCCAACCTACTATAGTCCTAATCTTCATTTTTGTGATCTAAAAATAATAAAAATTTTTGAAACCTAGATTTGAATATGCTTGAGTTGTACTCCAAATTGGTTTAATTAAGGATTAAGAGGGTTTTAAGATTTTGGAAGGCCAATGGGCAATATTTCTTAAAATTTTGAAAATTTTGGACTTGAAAATTATCGAAAATCGGAAATTTTTTCAAAATTTCGGAACTCGGAAGGAAAAAAACTTCGGAAATCGGAATTCCGACCCACCTCTGCTGCCTACTAAAATTTTTATTACTTTGAGCGGTGGATTAAAGGAGATCTCGAGGGATTCGTGATATAGAGGGAGATTTGGCAAGATTAAGGTGATATTGTGGTATTGACGAGATTAATGGGATATCGGAGGATTAAGGTGGATCTATGTCGATTTAAGGGGATTAAGGTGGATATCGGCAGATTTGTAGGGTCCACTCTTGTTTCTGTTATGTTTTTGTCACGCATCTAGCTCTTGGGGTGCATTTTTATGATTTAAATATCGATTAAAAGCTTTTATGAACTGAAAAATAAATATTTTTTAATTTTTATTTTATTTCGTTTATTTCGTTTCGTTTCGTCCGAAACAAGCTCATTTCGTTTCGTTTCGCTCCGAAACGAAATAGGAATTTTTTTATTTCGTTTCGATTCGAAATAAAAAATATTTTGGCCCTATCCCGAAAGAAGGGTCGAATCGTTTTTTTTTCATTACTTTTTATTACTTTATAAAAATGGTCAATTTTCCTTAAAGTTGATGTATGTTGATGTTTGCCTTAAGGAAGAACGGCGAAGGACAGATAATGACAGAAAAACACGAAGGACAGATGAACCACGGACAGACAGAACACGGATGGACTCGTGTCGTCTGTATCTTGTCTGTCCGAGTTCGTCCATGTCTTGTCCGTCCGAGTCCGTCCATGTCTTGTCTGTCCTAGTCCGTCCGTGCTTTGTCTGTCCATGTTTTCTGTCCGATTTCGTCCATGTCTTGTCCGTCCGAGTCCGTCCGTGTTTTGTCTGTCTGTTTGTCCGTGTTTTGTCTTGCTGTGTCCGTCCGTGTTTTGTCTGTCTGTGTCCGACGTTGTTTCATCTGTCCTTGTTTTTCTGTCATTATCTGTCCTAAGCTCAGAATTGTGCCAGATACCAAATTCCAACAAAAAAGAATCATGTTTTGTGGTGACAAAATCAGCAGAGCATCCATCCTCTTTTGTTTTGGAATTTTTTAGGTACCAAATAATTCTGTTAAAGTGAAGTAATGTTCATTAGAATATGTTTGTTTAATTTGCTTACATATTCCCATCCTTGTCCATTTCAACATCACAAGCGCCTGGAAGTTTCTTGTATAGTTCCAAGTCCTCGGGAGTCTCGGCAATCATTGTATTGACCATCAACTTTTCAATCTTTCCGTCGCGAAGTTCATGTCTGCCATGCCCAACTAGATCACATTTAACCCAACATCCAAATAACAACACAAAAGCCGAGAACCATAAGAGGGTGGAGACAACTTTGGAAATGTTTGAAGAGACATTGCTGCCGCGATTCAGCATACTGATAATCTTGACGCTAACAATAAGAAGATAATCTTTGTAATGGAAGAGATGTTTAAAGAGATTATGAAGATACTTTTATAGTAAAAATTTCTTACTGATAAAAACTAATTCAATACAATAAACTGGCAAATATCAACCTCTAATCTTATTAATTTATCTTTGGCTTGGGGTGTAGTCTTAGGGGTGCCGGAATATTGACGGAACCCCCCGTTGACGGAACAACATCCCCCGTTTATTTCCCTGGTGACGATTATTCCTCTGGAGACGAAAATACCGAAAATGTTGGAGACGAAAGTCTGAAAAGTTCTGGAGACGAAAGTTCCAGTGAGGAAAATTCCGTACACCAAGTCTTGGGCTTGGGGTGTAGTCTTGGTCTCGAGTTATGAGTCCAAGAAAAAAATTAAAATTTAAAACAGATCGACAATTTTATACGTTTACTTCAGAATAAAGTTAAATATCTTTAGAGGAAATTTTAAATAAATTTAGAAAATATAAAATTTGAAGGATAACAAGTCAAAAGTTTCCAAAAAAATAAAATGGTTAACATATCAACTATACTTCTACAATGTTCTTCTGTGTAGAAGTATAGTACTAAAGAGCGAGTTGGATCTGGATCCAGACCTTGATTTTTTCTGGATTTAGAGTCCAGATCACGGCATTGTTCAGAGTTCCTTGAATTTTCCTTGACTCGAGGTCAAGAATCTGGTCAAGGTGCCCAACCGAAATCAAGATCAAGGTTAATGTTTTTTGAAAATCTCGCTCGCTAGTAAATACCTTCTTTAAATATGTTAAATTTTGTAAAGTTACATTTGTAAATTTAAAATTTCTCCTCAAAATCCTCTTCGGCGGAAAGTTGTTGAGCTCGAACTAGTAGAACCACCACTTCCACGATCCTTTTTATCATGAAGAGACAAATTGGACATAGTTTTAGACATCTCATTATCATGTAATTTTAAGAGGTGTTTTTGAATATTTGCCTTCTCATTTTCTAAACTTTTCTTATTTTGTAATAATTGAGCCTTTTGCCATTCGTATTCAACTATAAAATGAGATTGCTCTATAGCACCGTTTTCAAAATTTTCTGGATCTTTATCTAGGATCGACTCATATTCCTCTTCATTTTTACTCAACTTAGTATTAATTTCCTGAATTTCATGTGTGATTTGAATCAGTAAATTAGAAACAATTAAATTTGAGATGTAATAAATGAGGGGGTGAGGGAAATGACTGAGGAAAACGAGTTAGTGTAAGGGGAGTCATTGAAAAATTTAAAATTACAAAATATTACACAATTTAACATTTTTGTAATTGTTTTTGTTTTGTTTCTTCAGTTTTATTCTTCAGACAAGGACATTTTGCATTGAGAACGGGTTTGAGTTCAGATTGAATTTGAAAGTGGTTGTGAATTCAGGGAAGCATATTGTGTTGAGAAATAAAATGGCATATTGTCGTTGAGAAGGGATTGAGAAAGGCATATTCTGTTGAGGAGGCATATTCTGTTGGGAATGGATTCGAGTTCAGACTGAATTTTGTATAATTAGTTTTGGAGTGAGGGGTTATTATTAGAATAATTAACTTATCTCCATGTTGAATGAAAAATTACCTAAATAGATTTCAAAATGGCTGGGGAATTTAGAATTTATTTGGGGCTTCGAAAATTTACCTCCTATATAAGGGGATTAATGCCAATTCGAATTTTCCAGGAATAGCTAAATTAGAATTAATATTTCCCTCAAGGTCTTTTATGATATAACTGGTCCTTGAGGTTTTTGGATTAAATGGGATTGGATTTTCTATGTGTTACTCAAAAAATGGGATTGAGGAAAAATTCTTTGGATTTTCGAAATTCTTTTCCCTCAAGGCCTTTTACATAATAGCATGGTCCTTGAAGGTTTCCATAAAATTGGATTAAGGGGATGGGATTTTTAAGTTTCATTGAATGATGGGACTAATTGTTAATTCTAACTTCCCAGGGGTAAGTAAATATGGGTTATTTTCCATCAAGGCCTTTTATGTGATAACATTCTGGTCCTTGAGGTTTTCTTTAAAATTTGATTAAGGGGATAGGATTTTCTAATTTTAACTGAGTAATGAGATTAAGTTCAAATTCTAAATTTCAGAGGTATTAGAATATTTCTCTCAATTTTAACCTCAAGGCCTTTATGTTGCAATACATTTTATGGTCCTTGAGTTTTAAGTTACTTGATAATTGGAAGGGGTATAATGGAAGGGGATAGGAAATTGAATTTTTGTTTGGTAAACTTATCTACGGCCATGTTTTCCAAGAGTAAGTTGAGTTGATTGAGTTCATGGTGTTCCAATGGTATGTGGAGGAGTCAATGTAATAGTTGAATTATTGTTGAATTTGTAGTTATAATTGGAGTAGAAAATATAATATTAAGTTAATTTGAGAAATGCGCGTAAAAATAAAGGTGAGAGAACGGGGGTGGAGGAGGATAGAAGGGGAGAAAAGGGTAGAAGGGGGGATAGTGTAGAGGTTGGATAGTGTACAGGGGGGATAGTGTAGAGGGAGGATAGTGTAGAAGGGGGATGGTGTAGAAGGGGGATGGTGTAGAAGTTAAAGGGGGGGAAGAGTGTTGGAAGGATTCTTAGAGAATTTATGGGAAGATTTGGAGGTTGTGTTTTACTCATTCTAGATTAGATTAATTCATATTTAATAATAAATTAATTCTAATGGATTTCTTTACAATTGGGTTCAAAAATTTATTGGTTTTTCTGTTTGGAGTTTTGGGAAGGGGGGGGGGGGGGGTAATTGTTTCCTAATTAGCTTAATTATGATTAATTTCAAATTAATTCTAATGGATTTCTTTACTTGAAGAGAGGGGGAGAGATTGTAAGGATAAGCGCTTGGAATAAAATGTAAAAAATTTATGTCGGAAAAAAGGAGGGAAAAATATTTCAAAAATATTCATCGATTAAAAATTTCCCAGGATAGTTGATAGATTATATTAAAGGATTTTATTAAAGGATTTATGTATTTTGTCATTGGAAAAAATTAAAACGGAAAAAATTGGATTATTATCGGAAACTGGAAAAAATTTTAAAATAGGAAAGAATTGTGTTCTCATTGGAAAAAATTTAAAATATTGGATTCTCATTGGAAAAAAACTTTTTTTTAATGGAAAAATATAAAAATTGAAAAAATTGATCTCATTGGAAAAAATTGTAAAAATTGATCTCATTGAAAAAATTGTAAAAAATAGGAAAAAATGTATTCTCATTTGAAAAAAATTTAAAACTTGGAAAAAAAATTGATTGTCATTGGAAAATTTACTGGGATTTCTTTGAAAATGAGGGAGGTGAAAATGAAAACGGTTAGGTTATAATCTCTCCCTTTTCTCTCTCTCACTCTTTTTAATTCAGATACTTAATTCTGATTAAAAAAAACTATTATTTGGAAATGAAAGGAATTGTTGGGAATAATGAGTTAAAGTAAAGGAATGAAGGGAGAAGTGGGAGGGGGATGGGGACATATTTAAAAAAATATTTTTAATTCAGAAACTTAATTCTGATTAGAAAATTGTTTTTGATAGAAAGGGGGGGGGAGAATTGGGAAAAAAATTTTTTAACCAAATTTGTAATTAAATTTATAATTATTTAAACTTATAATTATTAAATTTAACAATATTTACAAACACAAAAATAGGGAGGAAAGGGTATATGGAATAAAAAGAAGAGAAAATGTGTATTTCCTTCTTTTTATTTTAAAAATCTTATGAGGGGAAGTAATGTAAGATCGATTGGGAATGGGAAAGTGAAAAATTGAGCAGCTATTCTTATGGCAAAAGAGACGGGATAAGCGTCACTTTTTGTCATAATTTTTCTGATTATGGGAGTGGGAGGGTATGGGATTGGAAATAAAAATGGGAATGGAAGGCGAAAATAATTCTTAATATTAATTTAAATAAATAAATATTGAGAAGAGTGTGAGGGAGGAAGGAGGGAGAACTATACTTAAAAAATATGGGGTAGAAACCTAGTTGAATAAGGCCTAAAGGGAAAAATGTTTTAAAAAAATTATAGGGAAGAGAGCGGGGGTGACCAATACCTAGAGGGCATTTGAACCATCCGGTGCTACCAATTATGCGGCTCAGACCTTTCGGTCGAGCGCACCTTCAGAGCGCCGGTTGGGGAATTGGGGATTGAGTGGGGGAGGCGCAGAGGACCTATTGACTGAATAAATTCGAATAAATCAAAACATTTATTTAATATTTGAAATATATAAATTAAATGAGTTATTGGTTCAATGGAAATTATAGGAAAAGTAATACGAGGATTGGAGAATCATTGGAAGGGGGGATTTAATCGGATAAACACATTTGAACTCAATCATTTGTGGTTTATCCTTTTGGTTAAATAGTGGGGAAAGTGGGAGGGAAGAATGGAAAAATACAAAGTGAACGTTCTGGGAAATGGGAAATAATAATTGTGATAATGTTGGGAAAAGGGATAAAAAGGTTGTTTACATTATTGGGAATGTTCGTGAAGGATAAGTGAGTAATGGGAAAAGGAATTAATAACAATAAATGTGCAAAAATGGAGATAAGGGGGAAGGATAAGATGGGAAAGAAAGAGTGTAATAAATGGAAATTGAAATGTAAATAAAGTCGGGGTCGGGACTTGGATAAAATATAAGTATCGAGTCTCGAGTCCGGGGCTTACAATAATCAGGGTGACCATTTTCAGGTTGCCAAAGGAAATATTTTTTTCTCAGGGTTACATTATATAATTAATTTTAGAAAAATTATTTCATTATCAATAAATTTTATATCCCATTGTTTATCCAAGAAAACTGTTAAAAAATACAGGTTTAAAGAAAATAAGTTGAAAGAAAAGAATTTAACAGCCAAATTAGGAAAAGGAAATTTAACATTTTTCATTTGAAAATACTATAACATCTTCAGTTCAGAAACATCGTTATCTCATTGCATTACAAACAAGTGTAACTATGCCCAATTTCACCTGGTGGCGTACAACTTGATCCAGGACAGCATCTTTTATCATTTTTGTCGTTACAACCACTCCCAGCAACAATACAACATGTTCCTTTATTAGCACCTTTATCAGAACAAAGACCAGCACAACAATTACCCTTCCCTTTTCCAGTACATGTACGTCCATATCCAATACAATCACCCTTGTTTAATTGGTAACCATTGTTTAATTGTAATAATATAAATATTGAAAGAAAAAATAAACAAATTTTGGTTGAAGAAGAAAACATTTTTTTAATTTTTAAACTTTGAATGCTTAAATTATTTTAGTCTGAAATTAACATTAAATATTAAATAAATTAAATATTTTATTTCAAAATATTTATTATGTAATATTTTTTAATAAACCTCTGATTTTAAAATTATAGAAAAATCTACTTAGAAATATTCGCCTCCAAACGTTCGAGTTTGCTCAAAAATTTAGTAAAAGGCTATGTTAAATAATTACAAAAATTTATGTACAGACGGATTTGTGGATATGATCACCTCCAAGATATCAACAAAATTTAATTAACGGATTAATTTTATTTTTAATTTAATTTTAAAATAAAAATATTAATTAATTAATTAAAATGAGTTTATTACCTCAATCAACATACCTGTATTTATATTACTCTAATCACTACATTCTTTAAGATTTCCAAATAATCATCAAACTATATCTTAGCTCAAAGCTTATTTTTTATTTAAACATCTGGGTATTTTTAAGCTAAATGTTAAGTTTTGTGTTTTTATCTTGTCTATTTTTGTTTTTAAATAAATGGCAATTTAAGCTAATATCTAGAAATTTATTATTTTTGTTTATTTAATAAGTGAATTTTTGGATTCATGGTTTTAGAAAAAAGAAATTTTTCGTATTTTATTTGGTGTACTTTGCCTTTATTTTCTATTTTTGTAAATTAATGGCAAGTTTTGCTAAAATCTGAATTTTATTTTTTTTGCTAAAATATTATTTTCTTTATTAATTTTTTAGCCGAAATTTAATTTAGAAACATTTAAGAATTTATTGACTATTGTGAAATCTATCAGTATTTTTTCTAAAAAGGCAAGCAAAACACCCAAAATTTTATAGCCATAAACTAATGTTTGTTTGCTTCGAGAACCTGTTCAAGCAACGGCAAAATTTAGAATCGCCAAGAGCTAGATCCGTGAAACTACATATTATAGTATCGGAACTACAAGTAACCAGTCTCGATATTCAATTATGTATACTTAAAATTGGATCTAAATTTTATTAATCTTCAATAACACTATCAGAAACTTTAACGCCAGATTTTAAATTATGAATAAATACATCATCAACAACAGGGTCTTAATGAATAGTTTTATTATTAATCAATCACAAACGTCTTGTCAGATTTTACAGAAAAATCAACAAAAGTTGTTTTATCTTAAAATGGCCATATTTTGATAAACAAATAATTATTTTTAACTTTAGAATTTTCTTTCCCACGTTTGATATTTGCTAGTTTATTTTACTGAATTAGCTTTTATCAGTGAGACATTTTACTATAAAAGTATCTCCATAATCCAGGGCTCTCATTCGTGCTTTATTTGAAAGTATTATACTTTGAAACCGACCTCCATACTTAAGAAATTGAATTTATACTTTATTGAAAGTATATACTTTAAAATCAACATTTTGGATTGAAAATGAAATTGGGGAAGGGATTGGGCAAAAAAGTGAATTTTTTAGCCTTGGGCCTTCTAAAATTTCAAAAAATTTTCGCCTGCGGCGCTGAAAAAGAAAGAAATCTGGCTTCTTGGGCTCCAAATTTCAAAAAATTTTCGACTGCGGTGCTGAAAAAGTGAATTTTTTTGCCTACGGCCTTCTAAAATTTCAAAAAATTTTCGCCTGCGGCGCTGAAAATGGACGAAAGTAATTTGCTTGAGGTTAAGACTGTCAGGGCTTTATTTCTTGTATCAGCGAATTTCGACATGTCATGCGTTGAAATGCACAAAATGCTCAGTGGAAGCAAGAAATTATTAGAAAAGATTCATTTAAGAGAGAAATATAAAAGATTTGAGCACGAACAAATATTTTCCAATTTAATTTTGAGTATACTTTAAATTTGGAAATTTTCTCCCTATATACTTTTTTATCAAGATTTTGATACTTTTGAGTGGCATTTTGTCGATGAGAGCCCTGCCATAATCTATTCTTTATCTCTTCCATTACAAAGTTTAACTTCTTAACGTCAAGTTTGTCAGAATGCTGAATCGCGGCAGAAATGTCTCTTCAAACGCTTTCAAAACTGTCTCCATCCTCTTATGGTTCTCGGCTTTTGTGTTGCTCTTTGGATGTTGGGTTAAATGCGATCTAGTTGGACATGGCAGACATGAACTGCGCGACGGAAAGATTGAAAAGTTGATGGTCAATACAATGATTGCCGAGACTCCGGAGGACTTGGAACAATACAAAAAGCTTCCTGGCGCTTGTGATGTTGAAATGGACAAGGATGGGAATATGTAAGCAAATTACAAAGACATATTCTAATAACAATCCATCCCTTTAACAGAATTATTTGGTACCTTAAACATTCCAAAACAAAAGAGGATGGATGTTCTGCTGATTTTGTCACTACAAAACATGATTCTTTTTTGTTGGAATTTGGTATCTGGCACACTTCTGAGCTTTCGGACTGTCTAGATTTCGCCGGAGGAACAGGCGATAAAGCCGATAGCCTAGAAAATTATGCCACTTTAAATGAAAATAGGTACATATCCAATATAAGTAGCTACAACAAAAAACTATTCTTATTTAGGGTTGGATTCTCCTTTAGTCTAAAAGGCAGCGAGTTCGACAGGATTAAGAATGGACTTCTATATGGTAATGATGATGATTGTACTGATGGAGAAATGTGTAAATTCGGAAAAGGTAAATGTTTGAAGGCAGCGGATTATTCTATTGGATGGGCTCGGATAAAAGAAAACATAGTTGACAGCCTTCAAGCAAGTAAAAAATTTTTTATTGTAATATAAAAAATAATCAAAAAAATTTAAGTTGGCGAGGTTGATTTATCCGCTTGCCGTAGATATTATCCTAATTATGTCAAGAAAACATCTTTTGGGGAAACATATACAACCTTCAATATTAAATTCAGCAGAAATGGACATGATACTTCCTGTGGACCACCGAGAATGAGGAAGGACAAGTTCAAGGAAGCTATGCATTGTTTTAAAATGGAAAATCTTCACGTGCCGGAAGGATGGAAAATTATGGACCCAAACTATATAGATCAAAAATACCAAAATCTTTTAACCTTCCACATTCTTCCTGTTACTGCAATGAGAGAAACTATGCAGAATATTGAGAAATGCAATGGGGAATGTGATAAAGAATCAACAATGCAAAAATGCGAGAAAATGTCTGTTAAATTTGTAAGTTTGTTAAATTAAAATTGAAGAAAAAATCCAAATTATTTAGTCTAGTCAAGACTATAAACTTCTCGTTCCTTTTAATCCAAACAAAAAGACAACGACTATAACTACAAAAACTACCAAAAAGCAACAAACTACCGTAAAGCAACAGACAAAAACTTCAAAGCAAGAAGGGAACAATACAACAACTAAGGGAGGGAATAATCCAAAAATCAAAAAGACTACCGCTACGAAATCTTCAGGAATTAGCCAAGCTACTCTATTACTTGTTGTCTCTATAATTATTTTGTAAGTTTATTTGAAAGATAATTTCTTATGATTATTAGAGAGTGGACTGGAAGGGTGTAAAGAATCAAAACCATCAAAATATTTTGATACTCGATAATCGAGATGTCTGTTCGAGATCCGTCTAGGTCCTTTCTCTAAATTCACCATATAGACATTAATAAAATTTTAAATTTTGTAGGATTGTCTCAACTATTTGCTGTTCAGTTTGCTTATTTTTGGTCAACAGTTCGGATGGAGGAAAGGGAAAGACAGGAACTCCGAAAGTATAAGAAGTGGTAGAAGGAATGTATAAATAAATAAAAGGAATTTGGATATAATATTGGAGTGATATTAATGCCGAAATACATTAATATTGTTATTTATTTTTTCTAAAATTTTGTAAAGCCTTTGTGATTTGAAAAATAAAATTAAAGGATTGATAATTAAATTTTTGAATTTTATTCAAAATTAATCAAGTATTGCCTTCCGTTTTTCAATTACTTTCTAAGCTTTTATGAGGTTTTTTGCTTGAAGAATTTAAAATAATTGTAAGGGATTTTCTGTTACTGTAAGGGATTTTTGAGAACCCGTCTAAGGAGCCACCAAAAATTTAAACTGCCATGAACTATTCTAATATCGGAAACTCAAGCAGCTAGTCTCGAAATACAAGCCAGGAATTTTTGTAAGACACGCTGATAAGGGAGATAATAATATGTAGAATAGACTTTCTATTAATTTTTTAATCTTATCTCCCCAACTCCCTCCTTACATCCGAGTCCACAACCCCTATAATACCTAACCCCTATAATACCTTGAACCCCTATAATACCTCCATATCCCCTTATATCAATCATATCCCTCAAAATCACTATCCATCCACAAGTGATTTTTAGTGATTCTTCAATTTTTAATTGCAAAATAGCTAAAGAATAACCTTACATGTTGGTGTTAGATTGTAAAATTCCACGAATGATTTCACTCTTTATTTAAATTTCTTTCGTATTTGTGTTTCTATCTCCCTTACCTTTACCTTTCTCCCTTACCTTAATTTGTTTGCCAAACATTTTTATTTATTCCACGTTTATTCAATTTTATTTCTCTCCTCAAATGATAGCTAGCTTTTTATAAATGGAGAGATTAATAGTCTTTTAGGGTAAAATTCGATAGAAACTTGAAAATTATCCTCCATTATTTAATTCTAAATAAAATAAGCGAGAAAAAATATTTTATTTTTCCATTTAGAAACATTTAAGTTTTCATAGGGCCAATCAATTAGAGGAGGCCACTAATCTAGGAATATTATCTATCCACTGACAGAAAGTAAAATTTATAATATTTTTTACAGTTAGGACTGGGAAAAACGAAAAGACGGGTAATCAAGAAAGGAGGATATAATCTCAGTCCGTTAGGAAAATATGGCCCCAAAATCTCGTTTACTCTCATGTAAACGAGGAGAAATGCAGGTATTTCCACTTGCATGTAAGGTTGTTACTAGGACTGTTCACTAACGTCTATTAACCGGGTCCCTCGGATTTCGGTTAACCGACCGTCAACAACCCTAGTTGTTACCCATTCCCGGGGAGGCCATTTTATTCTAATTTTTAACATTTATTTTTTATAAAAAAATTTTATTCAAAAATGACTTCAATTAAATTTAATCTTTTCTTATTCTCAACATTGCTATTATTCCATTTAATCAACAGCGATTGTCTTAAAAGTGGCGGAACTTGTACACCAAACAAGAAATGCTGCCGAGGTTTTGATTGTAAAAATGGGAAATGTTGTGTTAACGTAAATGGATATTGTAGTGGAGAGAATGATACTTGTTGTGATAAAGCGAAAAAATGTTCGAGAGTTGGGCATGCTTCTTTCCAATGTCAATGAAGGAGGATATATTTGGATATTTATAAAGAAAAAGAAAAATTATTGATAAGTGGGAAAATAATTAATTTTATTAAATTAATTTATTATTCAATTTAATAAATGTTTAATTTGATAAATATTCAATTTTCAACACTCTCTAACAAACTAAATTCGTCAACTAAATTTAACAGAAATGGCAAATTCTATATTAAATTAAAGATTATTTTTAGAAAAAATATAAAGATAATTACCTAAGCTTGTAAAATTATTTAGTGTTCAAAGGTCAATCAAGCATTTCATGCCAGTTATATGTAGTTTCGTTCAAATCAGCTCAACTCTAACAGAACTATAATTTAAATATTCAAAACCTCAAAAATCAGAGGGATCCCCTCTAAAATTTTCTATTCTCTGAGAATTCGGTTAAAAATGTCTCGTGAGCTTTTTTGAATACTCCTAAAATAGGCATAAGACTTGACTTGTTTTTAGTCATTTTACTAATTAACTTTGTTTTTTCTCTTTTTTTACCCAAGACACGATCTAAAAAAAGGAATTCTCGATTTATAATTATAGCATCACCAAAAAAAACAGAAAAAGCCATGTCTCAATCTTGTTCTGAGTTAAATATTTAACTAAGTTTCTTCTGCCTTTATCCTTAAGGTTATACTTAAATTTCTTATTGGCAACTTACTAACACATAAAAAGGAAAAATAATTTTATAAAAATAAAAATAACTTTATTTGTTTTTAATTAAAAATTATTATGGAAAAAATGCTTGCACATGTATTAAATAAAATAAATATAGAAAATATTTTTATTTATTTTCTTTCATTTTCTGAAAAAAAAATATGAGACAACTAAATTTAACAGTAATGGCAAATAAAATATTAAAAGTGGTTGTTCCACGAATTGATCCTCCCTACGTAAAAATTATTTTTTGTAAATTTAGTTTTAATTTTTTGTAGTTAAATGCCATTAATTATTCCAATCAATGTAATGATGGAAAGATGTTGTATGGACCCGGTATTTTAAATTGAAAAAAATATTTGGCGTTTAAAAAGTTTGAGGGCCAGAGAGATTTTTGGAGAGACCTGGCCCGACTTGAAAAATAAATCCAGATTTAATCCTAACGTCTACAAAACAGCCAGAAAATGGACCCGGTTTCTATTCCGTTTACGGTTCTAGGACAGTTCTAGTCTTGAGCTTGAAAGTTTTCGATCTTGGACGTTAAATTAGCCGATACTTTGGTAGTCAAAGTTCCTTGTATAAGCTATAAAACTGTAAGGTTAAGCCCGAATAGTGGACGGTTACCCTATAAATATTCCTTATAAAACCCCCAATTTTCAGGAATTGTTTGGGAAATTCTTTGTGATATGGCTAATCGTTTAAATCTTACTTATGAAATTGAAAATGTTGAGGTTGAAGGATGGGGGAAGAGATTTGAAAATGATACATGGACTGGAGCTTTTGGATGTTTAAAAGAAGGGGTAAAAATAAAGAAGATTTTGAGTGATTTTTAGAGACTTGCCGGAATTTTTAGTACAAAATGAGCTTAAAGGGAAGGACCATAACTAAAAAAATCTTCTAAAATTTTGAAGATTTATATTATTATCACTAAATTGGAATTGAATTTTTAGCAAAATTTTATAGAAAGCAGAAATTTTGGCTGGCGGTTCAATGATGACACCAAACAGAAACAAAGCTTTTGATTTTTCCGATCCTATAGGTTACCAATCTAGTTCTATATTAATTAAAGTGCCAATAAGAGAAAATTTTGTTGCACAAATGTTGGCATATGCATTTGGATGGAAGGTATGGGGGAAAGGAAATTTTAGGGAAAATTTTTAAATTATGTGAGAGGGATTTAACTGTAATCTCTCCTTTTTCCGTTGACCTGCGTTTGTCTCAATGTGTTTAAAAATGTTTAAATCACAATTAAAAACATCAAAAATTATCAAAAATTTATTCAAAAGATTTGGCTATCTATTATTGGTTGTTTTGTGCTTGCTGGATTTGCCTATAGATTTATACAAAATCAAAATTTTGGATTTACAAGAACTACACAAACTAGCAATATTTTACTTGCACATTCTTTGGTTTTCTTTAGAGGAAAAAGTAAACGAAAAATTTTTACAAATTAAAAAAAATTTTTTTTCAAAAGAATTTTATTTAACTAATCATTCACTCTCTTCACGGATACTTATTGCTACAGTTTGGATTTGTTCGTTATTTTTGATGGCATTTTTTGGTGCTAATTTAGTAGCGTTGTTTGCACATGGCGCTTCTAAACTTCCGTTTGAAAGTTGGTTACCGAATATTCTGCTTTTTAAATTTGGTTAGGCAAAGCGAAGAGAAAGTTAAACACTTAAATCCTCCTCGGTACATTGTAAAATTACCAATGATTTAATTGGATCCTCGTTAAATAATTTCGATTAATTATGCAATTTAAATCGAATTCACTGAAAATTTTTCATGTGACTTCCATGTTGAGGGTCCCATGACCCCTTGTTGAGGGACATGGGTCATGGGACTCCTTGTTGGGGGTCATGGGACCTCTTGTTGCATAAAAGACCAAACTAGTTAGGGAGAAATTTTTCGATGTATGTGGACGTCAGTGAATAGCATGTCGGAGATCGTCGGGCAATGAACTAAAAATCGTCGTTAGGCGTGGACGATAAATCAGGGACTGACTCTAGTGATAACCCTACATTCCCAACCCTTAAACCCCAACAAAGCAATAAAACATCCGTTTAATTAATTTAGCTCTGGAAGAACTTGTACGTCTTGTTAAATCTGGAGAGTATAAACTCGTTTTGGACATAAAAAGCACTGGAAGGATTGAAATGATTGAAGTTGTGAATTTTTAAAATTATTTTTCCATAAAATTTTTAAAGGCTTTCACTGACGACCCAGAATTTTCAAAAATTATAACAGACAATAATTTAGTTATTCTTGTGGATAGTTTAGAAGATGGAATTAAGACAGTACAACAATATGAGGGAAATGCTGCTTTTATTGCCCCTTCTGGCCGTTTACGTGTTCTGGCATCTTTAGAGTAAAAAATAAATAAAAATTTAGGGAACTCAGACCTTGATTAACGCAAAATTTTAATGTTTTTAGAATTTTGTTAAAATAATTTTGATTTATCCTTAGTATGTATAGAATAGAATAATTAAGAATTTATTTGAGAAAACTAGTAACAAATAGTGACGAATTTCAGTAAGTACTCCTAATGAAAATTTATTTATAATTTTTTAACAAACTTTTTAACAAGACTTTGGTGATTTAATCAAGTATGCCTAAGAGTGATGTGTTATTTTTACCTTTCGTATTAGGCTCTCGCTTTCTAGAATTAGTTTCGTCACACCCCTGATCCTTATATAGAAAATCCCCTTAATTGATCTTCTAAATTATGTAATCTTTGTAATCTTTTTTGAATGACCATTGAGAAGTTATCTCTTTCGAAAAAATTAGAAAAAGAGATCTAAGGAAAGGACTAATTTTAAGAGACAAAAATACGCGAAGGGGGAGGAGGGGGGGGGAATACCTCAAAATTTAATTAACAAAAATCCACCTATTTATTTAAGATGTAATGTAACAACAATTCCAAATCGTGTATTAACTACTTATTTAAGTATAGCATTCAGAAAAGGTTCACCCTACAAAAATTATATTAATAAAAGAATTCCTCTTTATTGGCAAAACGGGTTGATTCGTAAATGGATGGTTGAATATTCTGGAACCTTTGGGAGGAGGAATACCTCCCATCGATGTTCTGAAATTAATGATGATAGACTTAAAAGGTTTGGAAATTTCTGAAAAAATTTTTTTTGAAAATTTTTTAGAGGAATTTTCGGTCTTATCCACTTTCAAGGAGTTTTTGCCCTTCTTTTTGCTGGGCTTGGAATGGCTTTAGTTGTGTTACTATGTGAAATATACACAAGTTATTATAGTTGAGAAGTATTCTGAGATACCATTAGTCAATTGAAAATCAAAATTTTTCTGATTTACATAAATTTATTGATAAAATAAAAACTGTAATTCTATTTTGGCGTAATTTTTGGGGTAAAGATCGATACAGAATAGCCAATGTAGATAATCCCCCTTCATAATCCCCCAAAATCCCTTTAATCCCCATATCCACAATATAACTTTACTTCTTCTAAATCTATCGATATCCATCCTAATCAACTGATATTTACATTAATCGCTTAGAATCCCTTAATATCCCTAACCATTCCTTCAAATCGAACGATTTTCTTTATCCCTCAATGCCAACGAGGCTATAACTTCGTTCAAAATTGTCGAATCTTAGACAACTTGGTATGCTTGGATTCAGCTCGTCGAGGCATATCGAAGCATACCAAGGCTTACTGGATTCAACAATTCTGAAAGAAGTTATAGCCTCGGCGTTAGGTTGGGCTGCGGTAGGTTGGCCTGCTCCCACCGAAACCGGGGTTCGAAAAACGGCGATAATCGGAACCCGGGATCATGTGCCTGTCCTAGGCTAAAATTTTGCTTCTCCGATATTGTTTTATATTCTAATTTAGAAATACCTTTCCATAACCAAAATTTTTTACACTTTTCAAGGCAATTTAAAAATAAAAAAATTATTTTATTAATAATTTGAAAGATATTTAGCAATTTAATTTAGCGAGATTAACGGGCCGATAATTTGAGAATGTTTAACAAATCAATTAAAATCAAGAATTTTTTTAGAAAAAAATACTACATAATAGATTTCATACTAGCCAATAAATTCTTAAACAAAATTAATTTTAATTTTTCATTAATATGTATGATAATCATGAGCTTTTCTAAATTAAATTTTATTTTAATATGAATAAACAAAAATCATAAATTTTAGCAAAAATCAAATTTAAATTTTAGCCAAAATTGCCATAAAATACAAAAATAGAAATAAACCCTTTCAAAACTCAACTTTTTTTGGCAAAAATACCCAGTTGTTTAAATATTATAAAATTTTGTAACTGATGTTTGTGAGTGAATTCTTAAAGTAAAAAGTACAGATTAGACAATATAAATACTTTTATGTTGAGATTGGTAATAAATCATTGTAATTAATTAAATTTTCCTTTTAATTATTAATTTAATTTTATTACAAAAAAATTTGTAGGGGATTTATTAATTAAAGAAAATTTTATTCCTTAATTGATGTTAACTTTGCTCCTTCCAAATCCCCAGAGATCACTCTTAATCCTTTTTAATCTTATTAAACTATTGGGACTCAGTCGTGATATATACAATATATACAGTATATACAATCCATATATATCACTTGAATCCTCGTAATCCTTAAACTCCAATTTAATCCACCTCTATATCCTTTCAGATTCCCTTAAGCCTTCGATATCCTACGAGTCCATTCATACTTTCGGTGAAGTTATTCACTAGTTTTGTCGGTTTCAAACCGGACCGAAAACCCAAAGACTTTCGGTTCGGTTTATCGGTTCGGTTAACTAGCCAAAAACATCGGTTAACGGTTCCGGTTCGGTTATCTACCGCCAATACCCTAATATAAATAATAAAAATAAAAAGATTTTCAAAATTAATTTAAATAAAACTTTAAATTTATTTTTGTACATTTAATTCTAATTAAGCGTTTTTTAGACCAAATAAAAAATTATTGGAATTCAGAAGCTTTTTAAAAAAAGAATTTTTGGTAATAATGAAGCGTACAGACACTAGTGATGCTCGGGAGAAGAAAAAACCCGGGAATCGGGAAACGGGAGTCGGGTCGGGAAATGACCTCGGGAGTCGGGAATTAGCAATAAAAAAAATTTCCAAAAATTTCAAAAATTTTTGGCGCCTTCGGCGCCAAAATTCCGATTTTTTGCACATAGGCAAAAATATTGAAAATTTTGGGAGGTAAAGAAGCTTTACTGGCGCCGCAGGCGAAAAGTTTGAGAATTTTTAGGTCAAGAAGTCAGATTTCTTCCATTTTTTGCGCCGCAGCCAAAAATTTTGACTCTCATTGGAGTGAAATAGAACGATCTTTAAGGGTAACTTAAAGTTTATTTCCCCGATTATTTGGAAAGATAAGCCAACAGCCTGTCCAAAAAACCTTGTAACCGCAGAGATAATCAGTGTTGGGTATTGCTGGGGGCAATCCCTCGTTATGGGGGCAATCCCTCGTTACTGCAAATCCCTCGTTATCTCTTTAAATTCACCATAATCCTAGTAAATCACCGAAATTTTCTATACTACAACTCCACAGATTCTTCAATTTTCAGCGCCGCAGGCGAAATTTTTGAGGATTTTGGAAGATCCTTAAGCCAAAAATCTTCGCTTTTCAGCGCCGCAGGCGAAAATTTTGGGAATTTTAGAAGACCAAGAGGCCAGATTTCTTCATTTTTTCTAAATGAAAATATAATTTTGCCAGAAAAAGTCATTCTTAGGGGTGTAAAAATTTCCCGACTTAGTCGGGAATTGACACCGGGAATCGGGATCGGGATCGGGAGGCCAAAAACTCGGGAAATTTTCCCGAGTCGGGAGTCGGGATCGGGATACCCGAGCATCACTAACAGACACCCTTTTTCCCTCCCCAATTTTTCTAATATATTTTTACAAAATGGTCAGAATTTTTCCTTTCTTTCATCCAATTTGCCTTTCTAATTTATTCCTACAATCGAGTCCACCCCTGAAGACCTACACCCCCAAGACCTACACCCTGAGGACCTACACCCTGAAGACCTATTTACCCTGAAGACCTACAACTTTTTGATCAACACAATTTTTTATTTTTTATTTCTTCACAAGTCTAATCGGGGGATTTATAAGTGGTAAAAAGGAGCTAGGAGGAATTAAGGGGGATATCAGATGGATTTGAAGTTTTAATGGGGATAAACTGGGATTAAGGGGGATATCGAGGATTTTGAGGTTTTAAAGTGGATAGAGGGATTTATAGGGATAAAGAGGATCTTCTCGTATCCTCGATATCCCCTACTATAAACAATTTGAGTTGATCAAAAAGTTGTAGGTCTTCAGGGTAAATAGGTCTTCAGGGTGTAGGTCTTCAGGGTCAATAGGTATTCAGGGTGTAGGTCCTCAGGGTGTAGGTCTTGGGGGTATAGGTCTTCAGGGTTGACCCCCTACAATCAAACAAAAAGGATTATTTAATTTTATACAAGTGCAAGTACATGCAAAAAACAACTAAAAGGAGGTTAGGGAGGAAAAGCATGAAATAAAATATCAAAAATAATCCGTTTTGTTTGATTGTAGGCAAAAATTAGAAAGGCAAATTGGAAGGAAGAAAGTAAAAAGTCTGACAATTTTGTAAAAATATATGGGGAAAATTGGGGAGGAAAAAAGGGGGTCTGTACGCTTCAATATTACCAAATTTCTAAATAAAATAATGTCTTCAATAAATATTTTGATTATTTTTATTTACTTCATTTTTGTATTATTTCAATTCAATTCAAGTCAACAATGTAGTAAACATGAAGAAAAATGCAATGGCAGTGATAAAAAATGTTGTCCGCATCTAAATTGTAAAGATACAAAAATAAATGGTGGAATATTTGCATATAAATGCTCCTATGGTAATTGTGTTCACGAAGGTAATCCCTGTGATGACAATGGACGAGGTTGCTGTTATGGTTTTAAATGTAATAATCGTTCTTCTAAATGTGAAAAATGCTTAGTTAATGGTTCGGATTGTGATGCTGCATATAAATGTTGCTCAGGACAGTGTGATAGTTCAGCACTCAAATGCTATTAATACAACTGAAAATAAAATTTTTCTTTTAATTTTATAACTGGATTTACTTTTGAGGATATATTTTCGCTTTAAATTCATCTGTTGAACAAGCTTTATAATCATTTTTTACTTGTTAAAATTTTCTTTTAAACTAACTGAAAGGGAGACTTTCTTTGGGTATTAAAAAATTTATTTAATTGTTTTTACATAAAATTAATTAAAAACTTCCAAATTTATTTTTCTTAAATTATTTAATAATTTTTTAAAACCGAAATTTCACATGGATAAAATATGAATTGAATATTCTGAAAGAATATTTTAGCCAAAAACCGTTTTCATTTAACCATAAATAGAGTCAATCAAAAACCGAATACAGGGGGTCGTAAAACAGCTAAAATTGAAAACTGGGGTTACTGGTTAATAACCGGTGGTCGCCAAACGCCATGGCGCACAGCTCTGGTTGTATCCCACCCTAATTTTAAGTTGTGTTTACTCCGAAAAGTTCAAGCCTTTTTTATGATCTTTTTATTTTTAGGTAAAAAGATTTTACTTGAATAAGATAACATTAATTTATATCCAACTATAGGACTTTTGTCTTGTTCGGTGGAAACTAATTTGGAAATGAGATTTTGTTAAAGCGTTTTGTTTATAATAATAACAATTATATATTAATTGAAGAATTATTTAATTTTTGTTTTTTTTTGTTCGAAAGTTGTTTTTAGATTTTATTTTCGTCAACAATAAAAATTTCTTAAATAATTATTATTTTTTTGTTCTGAAAATAAAATGTAAATATCCCGCTCCCACCCCAGCCTAGATCTCAGATTAATTTGAGATCGAAAAACGAAGGAATAAAACAGAGCAGGAGCCGCTGAAAGCGTCATTCGAAAGAAGAATCTTTTTTTCCTTTTTTTCAAATTTATGGATAAGTCTGATCACTCGTTAAAATGTTATAAACCGATAAATGTGAAAAACACCAAATAACTGGAACTTGCCGAGCTATAACTTTTTAATGAGTGATCAGTCTTGATCCATCCTTAAAATAAGGTACCGTTTATTTAGAGCTTTCGAATGGCGTAAAATTTATTTTAATTGGATCAAACAATATCGAACTCTAATTAGAAGTAAGTTAGAAAATCATTAAATTCCACAATAGTCAATAAATTATTTTAAAAAATAATTTTATTTTTCGTTAATACTTATGTCGAGTCATGAGTAGAGTCCGGATTTTTATTGAAATAAAATCACAAAATATGGCCATAAAATATTGAAATAAATGGGCGAAATATTGACAAAAAATGCCAAAAAATAGTGAAATATTGAAATAAATTATGGTTTATTAGTACTTCGTTCAGAATCATAATATTGAAAAACTAATGGCATATTTGGGCTTCTCTCGATATAGTGTGTTTGCAAAAAAAACATTTTATTTCAATAAAATCCGGACTCTAGTCATGAGCCTTTCTAAAACAGAAATAATAAATTTTATTAAAAATAAAAATAATAAAATTTAAATTTTGCCATAATTGCCTTTTAAAAATACAAAAATAGAAAATAAACCCTTCAAAACTCAAAATTTCTCTTGAAAATACCCGGTTGTTTAAATATTAAATAATGGAGAAAGCATAAAATCGGTGAAAAGTAGCGTGATGTTTATTTTCTAGATTAAAAATTAATGGTAGATCAGGTATAAAATGGTACAAAATTGTATAAATGGGTAGAAAGTACGTTTATTTAAATGAATATAAATACTGATGTGAGGAGGTTAAGTATTCTTAAGTAAAGAATTTTTATAAAAATAATGTCTTCAATAAATATTTTAATTATTTTTATTTATTTAATTTTTGTATTATTCCAATTCAATTCATGTCAACAACAATGTAGTAAACGTGAAGAAAAATGCAATGACAGTGATAAGAAATGTTGTTCTGGTCTAAATTGTAAAAATAAAAGAATAAAAAATGGAATATTTGTATATAAATGCTCCTATGGTGCTTGTGTTAACTTAGATAATCCCTGTGATGACAATGGACGAGGTTGCTGTTATGGTCTTAAATGTGACCCTCTTTCTTCTAAATGTAAAAAATGCTTAGTTAATGGTTCGAAAAGTGATTGGGCAGCTGACTGTTGCTCAGGAGAGCGTGATGGCACAACAGGCAAATGCTATTCAGACCAATGAAAATAAAATTTTTTCTTAAATTTTATAATTGGAATTACTTTTGGGGATTTATTTTGGCAAAATTTTCTTTTGAACTAACTGAAAGGGAGAATTTCTTTGGGTCTTTAAAAATAAATTTTTGTTTTTTTTCATAAAATTAATTTAAAAACTTTCAAATTATTTTTCTTAAATTATTTAATAATTTTTTAAAACATTATTTCATATGGATAAAATATGAATTGGATATTCTGGATGAATAATTTACCCAAAAACCGTTTTCATTTAAACAAAAACGTCAATCTAAAACCGAATAACGGGGGCTGTAAAACGGCGATAATCAGAACCGGGGTTGTTGGTTAATAACCGGTTGTGTCCCAAACTAATTTTAAGCTGTGTTTACCCCGAAACTTTTCGATTCGGGGAACTATGTCTTCACTTTTTTCGGGGCGGGGTTCGGATCTGAATAAATGTGAAAACAACTCTTACGGTTACAACTTATTAAAAAACCAAAATTTAGTGTTCTTAATTTTTTGTGAATTTCCAGCTCTATAATTGAGTCCGATTTTAATGATTTTAAATAATAGAAACTAAATTTGCCTTCTTCTCGTGATTATCCGTATTTTTGCAAACTGTCTAACGATATTTGGAACGCGTAATTTTTTGAAAACTTATCATATCTTTTGATTAATTATAGATTTACTAAAAACTTTAATAAAATAAGGAAGAAAAAAAGTAAAAATTTTTTGGGGGTGTCGAGATTTTTTGGAACGGACTTTATATCGAATCTTAACAAAACAATTTTCCTTTTCTTGTTATCATTTTTACTACGTAAAATAAAAATATTCTATCACTATTTTTGTTTAATTTAAAAAACATCCATCCATTCTGCTAAACAATTTCGACCTTCAACACATTCACCGATTATTCAATGCTTTTATTAATCATTCCTTTCACAACAGTTGTTGTTTACACTTTTATTTAATTTTTTAATCGAAAACTGATTTAATCTAAAATTTTTTTGATTAAAAGAAAATTGGTTTAAAAGGCTTTAGAATTTTTTTTTTTGCTTTTTAGTTTTGAATTGAAATTTAATTGAAAATTAATTTATTTATTGACTTCCTCTTTACCAAGTATAAGGGATTGTTAGAGAGACAATTGAAAATTTAATGAGATTTTGAAATTATAATTTTGACTGACTTTATAGAAGAATAAAAATATTTTTCTCTTCAATTCTTTCAATCTTTTTAGTTTTTGACTGAAATAAACAAAAATAATTTGGAAAATTTTTAACTTTAGGACCTGAGATCGGACTTGGCGATAGGTACGTCTCTATAACTCGGAAAACCCTGATTCTCGATAACCAAGATTCTTGTTCGATTCTTGTTCGAAATCTCGTCTCGGTTCGATCTCATTTTATGAAATTTCTTTCTCCTCACTTCCTCCATATTCTCCTAATTACCCCTTTTTACAACAGTTAAGGGGAAAGCTACCGAAATTTTAATTTAAAATTCATTATTTGTCGAGCTCTAATTTTTTAAAAATTAAAAGGAAATGGTTAACAATTTTAAAATATTTCCTTTTATTATTTCCTTCATTTTATTTTTTCTTATTTCCAATTCAAATTCTATGCGTCAACAAGCTATAGGGGCTAAAGGAAGATTGTTGTGTGGAAGTAAACCTGCAGCTAATGTTCTTGTTAAACTTTATGATAAGGATACAGGCAAATTTTTAATTTTTTTAGTCAACAGGTTTTACTATAATTTGCTTTTTCACGTTTAAAAGGAAATACTCTAAATTTTAGAAGGTTTACATAGATAAACCAGGAACTCATGTTAATAGGCGTTGAGTTTATTGTTTTTTTGAACAATAAATTATTTTTAAATTTCTTGGTCTTGTATTTTTTTTTGTCTTGCGACAAAAACACACTCAAAATTTCAAGGATTTCAAAATACAACCCTCTCACATACATTATCTAAAAGAAATAAATTCTAAATCAAGATATAACATGGAAAGGGATTCTACAATGAAGGGGCATGTCTCTAAGATAAATAAAAATATAAATGTATTTTTACATATTAAGTAATTTTCCACATAATATTTTTCATTTTATTAAAAATTTGTTTGTTCATTTATTCCGAAGTACTTTTTGTTTGTTTTACAATCAAAAATAATTTTGCAACAAATTAATGGCTACTTTTTTGTTATTTCCATTTAAGTAGATTCTCTTTGTAAATCAATATAGAATTTAATATTTTTTAAAAAAATCTAAAAAATTCCAGGAATGGATCCAGACGATCAATTAGATTCTACCCGAACAGATGCAAACGGTCATTTTCAATTGGCGGGGGATGAGCGGGAAATGACTAATATTGATCCTCAATTAAAAATATACCACGACTGCAATAAAGGGATTAACGTAAAATTTATTTTAAATTTTTTATTAAAAAATTTCGCGCGAATTTAATAACTAACCTGGGTAATTATTGTTTCGACCTTTCACTGTATGGAGCAATAAATCGAGGGAGGGTAATTATTTGAGGTTTTAAATTTGAAACTGTTTTAGGACATTTGTTTGGGGGTAATTATTATTTCAATCCAACGCTGGATGGGGTAATTATTTGAGGGAGGCCAATTAATACAGGTTATACGGTTGAGGTCCGTCTAAATAAAAATTTAATAACTCCTTTTTAGCCCTGCCCTCGTAAATGGATTTTGAATCTCCCAGATAAATACATATATTCTGGCCGTGCTCCCCCCAAAGTCTACTATGATATGGGCGAAGTTAATCTTGAGGTGGAAATTGAGGGAGAGTCTTTTGATTGTATTCATTGAGAGAAAAAGAATAAGTTTTTTAATTAAAAAATTTTTTTTTATTTTTAAAATTTACCAATATTGTCTAAAATATAAAAAAATTATGGCTTAGGCTAATTAATACAGCCTGAACTAACTTGTACAAGGCAGATGTGTTAATCGTAGTGCGACACTTGGGGACGGCATTTAGAGGTTGGGGACAGACATTGGGGGAGACCTTTAGAGACCGTGTTTGAGTAAAACTTTTTTTTAAATAATATCAAGGGACATGGAGAGATTGCGGGAGATATCGAGAGATTTTGAGAGAGTAAGCGGGGTATCGAGAGATTAAGATGAACAACATAAAAGGAATCTACGGCATGTAGGGTATCATTTAATGATTGTAAATCGGTAAAAAGGAATAGGTTTATGTTACTCTCTCTCCGACTACCATAAATTTAACTGGTTTATTTTTGTTCGCCCTTAATCCAACTATATCCATCTTAATCCCTCGATACCCCCCTTAATTCCTCAAAATTTCTCGATATCTCACTCAATCCCTCCATATAGGAATTTTTCGATATTTTCATTCAAAAGAATTATTCCACAGATTGTTTAATACGTACCAATTGAAAACCTCTTTTAAATATCCTCCAGAAAAGGAAAAATTACAAGATCACCCCCTTAATTTTCCCGATTTTATTTGTAAAAATTAGTTTGTTAACAAATAAGACATAAGACTTATTGACGTAAATAAATTTGTTTAGATTGACAGAAGCAAAGAAAAAAGATAAGAATTTTTATTTTTTATCAGTTTAGTGATTTTATTACTTTAATAGACAGAATGCCAATAAATAGGAAAATAAATATTTGTGACATTTTATTAAAGATAAAGCAAAAAAGTGGAGAATTAAGGGGTATATTTTTAGTTTATTTGGTAAAAATGAGGAAAATGGAAGGGGGAAATGTAAGGGGTATTGACGTAAATAAATTTAATGGACTGATTGGGGGTAAATAAATTTTTGAGAAATTATAATTTGAGAAATTATTTTTGTATAGATTGTTGTAAATAAATTATTATTTGATTAATTAGCTTATAAAATAATTATTTAAGAAAATAATTGATCTGTTTAATTTCCCTCGATTTCTATTTGCCGTTAATGTACCGAAAGGGTAATAGTGTCGTTTCCCGGTGTACGGAATTTTGGTCACTGGAATTCTGGTCACCAAGGATTTTCGGAACTTTGGTCACCAACTTTTTTGGAATTTTGGTCACTAGCGGAATTTTGGTCACCAAGTCAAAAAACGGAATATTGGGCACTGAAATTTTGGTCACCAAGAGGAATTTTGGTCACCAAACGGAAAAAAATAATCTTATCTAAAACTGATATCAAAGTGATAAAAAATGATTTTTAAACCCCCAGTTGATCAATTTCAATGTTTATCACTCTTCCGGCTGATAACTCTCTCGGTTTATCACTCTCAATCACTCTCCCGGAAGATTGATTAACCGTGAAAGTGATCAACATTGAAAATAATCATCAGGTAGTTGAAAAACAATTTTTTATCACTTTGATATCAGTTTTAGATAAGATTTGTTTTTCCCGTTTGGTGACCAAAATTCCTCTTGATGACCAAAATTTCAGTGCCCAATATTCCGTTTTTTGCCTTGGTGACCAAAATTCCGCTAGTGACCAAAATTCCAAAAGAGTTGGTGACCAAAGTTCCGAAAATCCTTGGTGACCAGAATTCCAGTGACCAAAATTCCGGCACCCTCGTTTCCCAGCCCCCTTTTTTTCCTACCAATTTTCTACCCTATGTTTGTACGTAATGGTCAAATTTTCCCCTTTCTTTCATCAAATTTGCCTTTTCCATATTTTGCCTAAAAACAATCAAAAAAGATTAATTTTTTATTCATTTCTTTCACAAGGATAAAAAAGTGAGACATGATGCCAAAAATTATAAAAAACATTTTCAATATTGCCAAATCGTTTTCGCCACATAAATTCCGGGAGATAACTTTTATAGGTTTCAGTGTTGTTGCCAGCTTGATGTTGCCAGCTTGAATTTTTCATATAAATCAATAGGTTTGAAATTCTTTAGTTCTTCCATTTTTATTAATTGGGAAAATGATTCTTCTCATAATCTAATACTTATTTAAATATCACAAATTAATCTTTTTGATTGTTTTTAGGCAAAATATGGAAAAGGCAAATTTGATGAAAGAAAGGGGAAAATTTGACCATTCCGTACAAACATAGGGTAGAAAATTGGGAGGAAAAAAAGGGGGCTGGGAAACGACACTATTACCATGGAAAGTAATTAAGTGTGAAGTGAACCTGAGGTTTGGGTTTAATAATTTTTGTATAGATACAGTACAATAAGTTTGTGTCAGGGATCTAATACACTACGACTTTCTTGCGAGATTATGGCCTAGGAGCTGACCGGTCTCTAACCGGTCAAATTAAATATGTATATTTTTCAATAAATTAGACAATAATATACTTTAACTAAATTATCGCTTAGCATTGGCTTGGGGAAATGAAAATTATTATTTCCCCACATTTTGGGGAAATAAAAATAAAATTGTGGCAGTTAATGCGATAGTACCTTTTTGTCAAAAATAACTAGAATCATATTCCAATATCTGAATTAATATTAACTCCAAAAAATCTTTTTTTTGTGAATTTTTTACAAAATCTCTATTAATTAATTACTTAAAAATCTAAGTTCAAGGTAATTTTCGCTCAAAAATACATATTTATACCAATTCCCTTTATTCTATCTCACAGCTGTTCTTAATAGCTTTTTGCTATCAGCACCAATCATTTAAGTTTTTAGTAATCAATTTACGATTAAACTTTGAGCTCTTATTTTTATTATTTTTTGAGAAATAAAAGTTTTTTGTAGTATTTTTAAGTAAATCTTAATTTAAATTACCCAAATTTTTTTAAACATTTTAGAAGGTTCGAAAACCCTCTATCCAAAAATACCTTCTATAGTCTGGGAAAACATCTAAAAATTTAATTCACTACTTAAAATTAAAAAAAAATATATTTGAATTTTTATATATTAAGTAATAAAAAAAGGAAAAAATTAGTTTAAACTATAGTGCTTTCTTCTAAGAAATTAACCAATTCTAATGCAATATTAATTTCAGTTATCATTTTCAACTGAATTTATTTTTTAAAAATTTTAATAATTTTTAGCCGAATATTTTTTTATTTTTGGGGATTAAATTTTTATTATATTTTTTAGCAAATCCCAGTTTAAACCAAATTAAAAAAAAATTTTAGAAGGTTCGAAAACCCTCTATCCAAAAATACTACATAGACCTCGAAAAAGAAATTTACTATTTAATTCACTGTTCAAATTTAAAAAAATATACTTGAATTTTTATATATTAAGTAATAAAAAAAGGAAAAATGATTAAACTAGTGCTTTCTTCCAAGAAATTAACCAATTCTAATTTTAATTTTACTTATGATTTTCAACGGATTTTTTTTTAATTTTAACAAGTCTTTTAGCCAATTTTTTTTGGGAATTTTATTAATTAAAAAGAATTCTTAAGTGTATTTTTCAAGCTAAATTGAAACAATTTTAATATAAATTAAAATCCAAAGATATTAAAAAATTACTCAAAAAAGATGGCATTTCATCCCATTAATCAGCCAAAACAAATTTCAAAAAATTTAATTATTTTTATTCTCATTTGTTTGTTTTTAACAACAACAAAAGCCTTTAGAAGACAATCAGCAGGTGTTAGAGGGGTTCTATTTTGTGGAAACAAGCCTGCTAGTGGAATGCTTGTTAAATTGTTTGACGAGGATGATGGTGAATAATTATAAATAATTTTATTTTTTACTTTGAGAAAATAAGATTTATTGACTTGCCGATTCAATTTCGGGCAATCCAAATTGGTAAAATCCAGGTCGGATTCAAAAATTTCACTTATGCACCTACAATCACAAAGTGACGATCATTGGAGGGTTAATGAACCTTTTATTCAAAATTAAAGTCTAAGTATATGAAATTTAAATAAAAATTGTAATTCTTACTCCAAATTAAATAAAAAATTTTTGGATATTTGTAATTTTTAAAAGGTGAAAATTATGATATCTATGGTTATGATCTCAGAAAGGACCTACTGATGAGGACTCGAAAAAGTTTACTCAAAAAATTATTTTAAGTTAAGAGTATGTTTATCTTATGTCCGAGCATATTAAAAAACTCTATAGAAGGTATAAAGCCAGTTGTATATTATTCTAAATTGGGGATCCCCGACACTTCCGACCCCGAAGGCTCGGGGTGCTACACTAGATTAACTATTTATACTACAAAAAATTTCTAAAAAGGTCCTGACCCCGATGACGAGTTGGACAGTGCCTACACAGACAATCAAGGACGTTTTGAATTGAGTGGGTCAACAATGGAGTTGACAAACATTGATCCAGAATTGCGAATATGTAATTACAAAATTAAAAATAAATTTAATTTTTTAATTTTTAATTAATTAATTAGATCATGATTGTAATATGCACGTTCCTCTTTGTAAACGGGAATGGGTTATTCGAATTCCAGACAAATATATTTCTTCTGGAACTAGTGCTAAACGATTTATGGAATTGGGTGCTGTTAATCTTGAAGTAATTTTATTTGAAATCAAAAATATTCTAATAAACGCCCACTTTCTAATAAACCCCTTTTAACGAGAAATCGTGAATTTGAGGCTAGGGGCTTTTATTGGAATAATTTCATTAATTACCGTATTTTTCCTAATAGTGCGACTCTCTCTATTTTATTGGCCCAGTAGGCATTATAACTGAAGTTAAATATGTAATGTTAACATGTTTTTAGTTCATCGTTTAGTAAATTTAGTTTGGAATAATTAAGGGAGTCCTGCAGAACTCCCGGCCCAAAAATTATTCTCTTCGATCAGTTGATAAACCTAACATTTGATTGAAACAAAATATGTAAATTAAATAAAAAATATAATTTTGTATATTAAACATTTTTTCTTATTTTTAAAAAATTTAAGCCGCCCGTTTACTAAATATACTATAATCTAGGGTAGCTCCCCGTCCCCCGTACCCGACGATTTTTTGGCAAAAACCTCGACCCGAACCTCGAATGCTCTACCCCGACAAACCCGGTCCCCGACGCAAACCCCGAGTCGGGGTAGTGGTAAAACATACACCCCTAAGGATAGGAATTTTTGGAATTTTTCGGAAAATTTAAATGACCAAAATAATTTAGACAAAATATTTTTCCCAAAATTATTGGAAAAGTCAAAATATAATTATTTTACAGGTTGAATTGGAAGACGAAAGTCGTGATTGTATCCATTAACAATTACAGTAAATTGAAAAATATTTTTATATTTTATTTAAAAGTAATAAATTTATTTAATTTTTAAAATTTAAATTATTTTAATTGTTTTTTAACAAATTAATTTTTTTTTAATTTTTATTTAATTTTATAATTCAGTTATAATGCCATTTAGATAGAAATTCTTTCTAGTGTCATTATAACTAAAGTATAAATTGAAAATCAAAATCTCTCTAGCCTCTTACATGATTACATCCTCCAAAAGGGAAAAGCAACTGAAAAACGCATATCTAAGAGTGTATTTAGGAAAAACCGAGGATATTTTGGGTATTTTCTGGATATCTTCTTATCTCCAAAAGACCGATAACTCTATAATTGGGATAAATTTAAACGGGCCAACTCCCCCTATGATCTATAATTTACTCCAAAACTTAAGTGAGGCTAGAGAGGACGAGAATTAAAGAGAGACACTCTCTGTAATTAGAGAGACACTTTCTTAAAAAGAGATACTCTCTCTATTAGAATTAAATTTAAAAGTTTAGAAAAAAAACAGAAATGGGACTTCATTTAATTATTTATTTAACAATTATATCAACTTCAATAAATATTTTATTAGCATCAATAGTTCCTGAACAACATAGTGGAATACAATCATATAGAGTAAATTGAGATAAAATTAAAATTATGATCCTTTACTAAATTTAAAGGTAAAAGGACGTTTAATGTGTGGAAATCAGCCAGCAGCTAATGTCCGAGTTAAATTGGTGATTTTTTGAAGTTGAAATTAATTTAAAGAAAATTTTTTGTTGAGGTTGATGACGATTTTGGCCCAGACCCAGATGATGATATGGACAGTGGATATACCGATACACAGGGCAACTTTCAGTTAAGTGGAGATACTACTGAATTGACAACAATTGATCCTCATTTAAAGATTTGTGAGTAGTAAAATTTTATTTTTGAAGAACTTTCAAGTTCATATCTGCAATTAATTTTTTACATATTTTGGGGAAAAGTGAATATTTGAAAATAACTACATACACTCTGTTCCAAAATTATAAGGTTACATATGATAAAAATAGGGTGACCTTATAATTTTGGAACAGAGTGTATTTATAGCCATAACGACGCAAAGCCCTAACTTTGTACCCCAATAATTTGCGTCATTATGGAAGAGAGTTTAGGGCGATTAGAATTTTTATTTTTTCGAAAGAGAGAACACTAAACTTTGCGTTATTTGATTAGAGATCGAACCGAGACGAGTGCACCTTCAATAACCTCGGTTACGAGATTTATCTATTTTCGAGTTATAAATCTTGCTGGTAGCTAAGCTTTAACTACTCTTATATTTTTGTGGTGTTAATAAAATCAGAGTTTATTCCTTGTAAACATTGGATGGATATAGAGGGATTAGGAGCAATTAAGAAGGGATTTTGAGGGGTCAATAAAATATTTATTGGGGAGCAAATATACAGAGGCCTCTGAAGTAAAATTTTCCGCAATCTGCAATTTTAATCTTAGAATCCGCAAACGCAATCCGCAAATCGTTGCGGATTCAGCCCTGAATGAAGCACAAATATTTCCTTGCTATATCCATAAAATTCACTTTTTAACAGAGCGCAGATCATGATTAAATTTTCTTTTCAGAAAAATATTTTTTTTATTTTTTAAAGATCACGATTGTAATGACGGACTTATTCCATGCCAACGTCGCTGGAAATTCGAATTGGTTTATTTATTTTTAATTCTAAAATAATTTTATATTTTAAGCCAAATCATTACATTACAAGTGGCAAACACCCTCACAAAACTTTGGATATTGGAACTTGGAATTTGGAGGCGAAGATGCCTGGAGAGAGTCATGATTGTATTCATTAAATGAAAAAATTAAATTTTAAAGATTTTTGTGCAAAATATATAAAAATAATTTTTTTGATAAAGAATTTTTTTACTAAAATTAATATCTTTAATGAGAAAACTACATAATTAAAAGAAAGCATAATTTTTTAATTTATAAACTGAAGACTAGAATCTAAATTTTTTTTCTTCCTCTCATTTACAGGAGGAAGAAAAATTTTTTCTCTCTTCCTCTCATTTTTAAAATTAATCGGGTACGCGTTTTTTGGCATATCCTTCTTCAAATTTTTTTAATTTTATTTCAGAAAAAAATAGTACATACATAGAATTAATTTAGGTAAAGCAGAAGGATTTATTTTTATCATTTCCAAATAAATTGAGTTAAGAAATAATTTTAGTAAAATAGTAGATATGTGGGTTTTTGAATTAATTTTTTAGAAAGAACCCAAGGAAGTTTCCTTTATAAGACCCTAAAATAAAGTTTCAGAATAAAAAAAGCATTAAAACTTGATTGGAAAGGGGAAAATGAAAAAGCATGTTGAAAAAGAAGAAAAATATAAAATTAATTTTATAAAAAAAACAGAAATATATTTTAAATATTCAAAGAAAGCCTCACTCGTAGTTAATTCAAAAGATTATGAAGTTTGATTTAATAGATGAATTTAAAGCGAAAATAAATCCCCAAAAGTAATTCCAGTTATAAAATTAAAAAAGAAAAATTTTATTTTTATGAGTATGAAGAGCATTTGAGTATATTGCTATCACAGTGTCCTGTGCAACATTCAGATGAATACTTACAATCTGAACCATTAACTTTGCATTTTTCACATTTAGAAGAAAGATTATTACATTTCAAACCATAACAGCAACCTCGTCCATTATCATCACAATTATTACCTTCGTGAACACAATTACCTTTGAAGCATTTATATTCAAAGTTTCCAAGATTTATTCTTGTATTTTTACAATTTAGACCACTACAACATTTACTATCACTGCAATCTTCTCCATGTTTACTACATTGTTGACTTGCACTGAATTGAAATAATAAAAAAATGAAGTAAATAGAAATAATTAAAATATTTATTGAAGGCATTATTTTATTTAGAAATTCTTTTTTAAGTTCTAAATTTTAATAACTTTTTTATTTCTAAATCGTGTCGGGCTATCTCAAGGAACAGACAAATCAAGGAACAGACAAATCAAGGAACAGACAAATCAAGGAAAAGACAAGTCAAGGAATGACCAAACGATTAATCATGGAATATTTTAAAAATAGAAATTTTTTGAAAAATTTAAATATTTTTAAAAACTAAGAGTTTAAAAAAAATTAGAATGCTTTAAAAACATAATTTAAAAAGAATTCTGATTTTTAAAATATTCCATGATTTGGTCTGGTCGTTCCTTGACTTGTCTGTTCCTTGAATTGACATTCCTTGAGTTAGCCCTCACCTCTTCTACATAAATTAGTATTTTTGCAAAAAAATAATGAGAATTATTAAATAAATTTTAAAAATGTAGTGGCCAAAATTAAATTTAAAAATTATTTTATAGGCGTTTAAAATTTGAAGAGATCAATTTGGCTCAAATTTTTGAACCTTCAATTCTTATTAATATTTAAATTTAAGTATTTAATTTTTTGCTGTTTAAACAAAAAATAACATTCGAAAGCCTGTATTTTTAAAGAAAAATACCACGAAAGGATCAATTTGGTAAAAGTTTTCGAACCAAAATTGTAATTAACCGACCATAGAATTCGCGAGGTAGAAGTGAGAGCCGGAGCAGTTCAACTGAGTCCGCACGATTGAGTCCCCACGATTGAGTCCGCACGATTGAGTCCCCACGATTGAGTCCCGGCACAATTGAGTCCCCACGATTGAGTCCGCACGATTGAGTCCCCCTTGTATATACCTCAATTGAGTCCCCGTGGATTTAATAAGTTTAAAATTTCCATATCCGGCATGCGGGATTATTTCAAAATTTCTATTTTTTAAAATATAAATGCCGGACAGACCACCTGTGCACCCCTGCTGCACCCCACATACCCTCCGTAGCAGCACAAAACAGTTTTCCAGCGCAGATTCAGTTGGTCATAACTTTGTTCAGAATCATTGAATCAAGCTGATTTTGATGTCATTCGACTCAGCTTGTCGAGCCCTTTCGAATGAGGTATAATTTAATATTCGAATTTTTTGTCCCCAAAAATTCCCCCGTGGATTTGACCATTTCGAGCCCCATATCTCGGCGAGAACCATGTTGATTTTTGTGTCATTCGACTCAGCTCATTCAAATGAGCTGTCATTCAAAAAATCTCTCGATATCCCTCCTAATCCCCAAATCCACAATATCCACCCATATCCCCCTTAATCGCTTAAATCTACTTATATCTCTTAATATTCACCGATATCCAACTTGATCCCTCGATGTCACATACAGGTCCCCTGATGTTCACTTTAATCCCCCCAAATCCCCAGATATCCCTCTTAATCCTTTTTAATATAATTAAATCTACGGGGACTCAATTGAGGTATATACAAGGGGGACTCAATCGTGCGGACTCAATCGTGGGGACTCAATTGTGCCGGGACTCAATCGTGGGGACTCAATCGTGCGGACTCAATCGTGGGGACTCAATCGTGCGGACTCAATTGAGGTGTACCGGTGAGAGCTTTAAGACTTTCAAAACTTGACTCCATTTTATTTAAACAGCAATAAAATAAATGCTTTTAAATTTAAACCAAATAAAAATTTAGAAATAAAATTTAAAAATGCTCCCTTTTTTGTTTAACTAAAAAGTATTTGCCAATTTTTGAGGTATCGCGTTTGTATGTAATGATGGCACATTTGTCATATCACAGTGGGCGGATACGACCAAACAATATCCCTCTTCATTGCAACAACATCCCCCGTCATAGGAAAAACATCTCCGTTGTTGGAACAACATCCCGAAGAATTGGGACAACGTTCACCGTCTTTTTTGCCTTGTTGGAACAACCTCTTGCTGTAAGGCGGCGGTAGGTTGAGCCTGTGGCAGGTTGGACCAGCGGTAGGTTGGGCGGCAGTAGGTTGGGCCTGCGGCAGATTTGGCCCGCGGTAGGTTGGGCGGAGGTAGGATGGGCGCGGTAGGTAGGGCCTGCTCCCGGTCTTCAACCTACATCTACAGTCTATATGTATTATAATATATCAATGTTGTCATCATATACTGAGGTTTTAGGGAGTTGGATGAAGTTATGAAAAGATGTTACCCAAGGCAAAATTTTTAGTATAAAAGCCAAAACTTACAGTATATTCAATTTCTTCGTAAACTTCTGAAATGGCTTCTGTCTCGTTCTTCGTGCGGTTTGTGGCCATCTTGTTGTTGGTTGTCAGCATTGTCTATTGTGACGTGGTTGGGCATGGCAAGCATGAGCTGGTCGACGGGAAGATTGTAAAGCTGCGGGGAAACACAAAGATAGCTGAGAAACCTGAGGATCTTGAACTTTACAAAAATATGCCGGGCTCCTGTGATGTTGAGATGGATAAGGACGGAAATATGTAAGTTTTGGGTGCTTTAAACAAATCAACTCCTTATTTAACAGAACACTCTGGTATCTTAAACTTTCCAACACAGCAAAGGAAGGATGCTCGATTGATTTCGTTATGCCTGATATCAGCACCATGAATGTGAGGTTCGACTTCCCCATGTATTTTGGTATCCAACACAATAAAGAATTGACGGATTGCTTGGACGATTTTAAATACGACAAAGCAAGTGAAGCAGCAGCTTTAACTTCTGATATGTTTGTTTTATTGAAAAATTTCATTAAAAATGTAATTTTTAGGTTCGCCTTCACCTACAGTATAACAAATGAGGAATTCTATAGAGTCAAAGGAGGATATGCGGAGAGGCACAATATTTTTTGTGTTGATGCGTCGGAATGCAATGATATCGGAGGCAAATGCTTGGATGTTGCTGATTATTCTATTGGATGGGCTCGAAGAGGAGATTTTGTTAGAAGTGCAGTTCAGCAAAGTTAGGAATTTTTATTTTCTAGGAAGGCTGATTACGGTCTTAATTCACTTTAAAACATCCTGCTTCCATGTAGCCTCAAATAGAGGGGCATTCCCAAGTTCCCCCCCCCCCCTCCCATAACGGCGCAAAGTCATAACTAGCTGGAAAATTTCTAACCCTTATCAATTTTGGTACCAAGTTCTTTAGCTCGATGAGAGGAATCGTTTAATACTAAATTTGTTAAGATCGAAAATCTTGAAGCAAGTTATGCGCCGTTATAACCGAGTTCCTACTTGGGCTACTATCTTTTTACTTGGGCTCCGCTTTAGTTGGGGAGTCTCTCTCCGCTTCTATTTGCTCCTATCTTTTTTAACTTAGAATTTAACTTCTTTAATTTTAAGCTTATTTTCAGTTGGCGAGTTTAATTATTGGATGTCCAATACTAAAAAGGAGCATAACAAGCACGAGATAGAATCTTTTTATTATTTTGATACAAAAATGGAGTTAACAAGCGATGCTGGAACCCCGAGCACTTATCGCTGCTTCAAAAAAGAAAATGTTCGCAAGCCAAAAAGATGGAGAATTACGGATGAGGACTATACCAATAAATTATACGCTCATCTCTTTACTTTCCACATTCTTCCAAGATCTTCTATGCAAATGAGCATGCAAAATATTTTGAATAAGTGTAATGAAGTTGGTAAGTGTGGAAAGTGTGAAAGTCATATAGATTGTTATGAAAATGCGGCATTCCAAAAGTGTGACAAAATGTTTGTGAAATTTGTAAGTTTGAATTTTTGTTAAATCATACAGTATAAATATAGCCAGGAGTGTGACACTTTGTCCTTTGCTATTTACAAAAGTTTCGGCCAAATTATCTTTTTTTTATTTTTCTAATCACTCTTAATTAAGGATTTTGCCCTCTACAAAGTGCTCGTTCCTGATAATCCAAAACAAACGACTACAGAAGTTACTGAGACGACAACGATGGTTACCTGCCCACCTGTTGTAAACTGTCCATCTTGTGTCAGCTGTCCGCCTGTTACCAACTGTCCGAGTGTTGCTACCAATACCATACAACCAGATAATTCAACCGAAAAAGGCGAAATAAAGCCTCAAAATGGAAGTAGTTTGCCTGGAGTACCGTCAACTTCAAAACCATCTTCACCTGCAAATGATTGCTACAACGAGGAGACTAAAAAGGATTCAAAGAAAACTTTGGTGATTACTCTCGTTATTGTTGGCTCTATAATATTGTAAGGGTTTTAGAAGGATTTTTGGGCAGAAAATATTCCTTTTAATTTTTAGGCTTCTAATGTTCACTGCTCTTCTCATCTGTCTATTCGTCAGCAAAAGCAAATAAAAGGAAAGGATTCGGAATAGTTGGATAAATATAAAGGAATTGTTGTGATATTTGTTATTTAATATTGGATGTTCTATTTCAATATTGTAATATATTGTAATGATATTGTAATTGTGTAATAGATAAATTGTAGTTTTTAACAACCCCCTCAAAATAACTTTAAAATGTCTCCCCAAAATGACTCGATTTAAAGCGATCTTAATATACATTTCTTAATGTAATAATACAAAAGATTGATCCAGCACTTTAAGAATTTTTTAATATCAAAATTGTCTTGAAATTTCATAATTTAGTCTGTTTAATCTTCTCTCAAAGTTAGAGCCAAAATTTTCTTTGACAATCCGCATACAGAAATACAATTTAGAAAATAATTTATTTTACTATTATGGGATTTAAAGTTTAATTTAATAATAAATCTGGGATACCGTCCGATGTACAATATATCGAAATCAATATCTTAGAAACCCACAAAGTCCCCAACTTTAGTCCACAATATGCACAAAGTGTGTATTTTATAGTGAGGGCTGATGTTTTCCTATTTAAAATTTTATCTACATTTTTATACATAATTATGCAAATTTTTATTTTAAAAAATATTAAAAATAATAAATTTAAATAAAAAAAGATTTATTTATTTAATTTATCCGTTCAAATAAATTGATTAAAAATAATTTTAGTAAAATACTAAAATAAATTTTTTGAAAAAAGGATTAATTAGTATTGAAAACCCCAAAAAATTTCTTCCCTTAAAGACCCTAAAAGAAAATTTTGCCGATTAAAAAATGATAAAGCTTCATTAAAATTATGAATTTAGAAAGAGAAAATAATTTAAAAATTCCACATTCAACTAGTATTTGCAGGCAGGGCTTGGATCTGGAAACGAAAAAGTTGGAGTACATTGTCCAGAGCAACATTCATTATCCTCCTTACATCCAGAACCTATAGGTGTGCATTTTATACATTTAGATCCAACACATCTTAAACCATAACAACACTCTTTGTCATTATCATTGCAAGAATTATTTTCATGGACACAATCTCCTTTGGAACATTTATATTGATAGTGTCCTCCAACTTGTACACTTTTACACGTTAGCTTATCGCAGCACTTCCAATATTTGTTATCGCAAATATCTCCACTTTTCATACATTGTTGTTGACTTTGATGAAATACAAAAATGAAGTAAATAAAAATAATTAGAATATTTATTGAAGACATTTTGTATTTTTTAGAAAATTATCTTTTTTAAAAAGAGCTGCTAAATTCCAATAATTTTTTTGTTCCAAATAATTAATTATAAATTATTTGTATTATAGAAAATGTAAAAAATAAATTTAGTTTTTTTTATAAAATAATTTTGAAAAACTTGGTTTTATTTATAACTTTTGTCTTAAATTTTGGCAGAAGCTTAAATTAAGATTTTTTAAAAATATTTTCTAAATTGATAGGAAAAATTGAAATAAATAATCTTACAAAACGCTTAATAGGAGCAAGGGTTTGTGTCATAATATTTTGACGTTTAGCATGTTAGACCTCTTTCTGTATGTCAAACAATACGTACCTACAGACCACGGCTGCCGCAATTTTGAAGGATTTTTAAGATTCTTTCTACAAATTTAATGAAAAGATGAAAGCAACGCCCCTGTAGCTCAGCCGGTAGAATAGAAAGTAATTGGTAAGCTAAAACGACTAGCCATAACTAGCCGGAAAGACGTTTAATTAAGGCAGCAATAATAGGTCCTTAAACTTAAATTCTTACTTAAAAAGTTTTAAGTTCAAAATTAATATAGGTATGTATTATTTGGCTCTGAATAATTGAGTTTTTTAGCTAGAAATAAAAAATTTTATTAAAAAATGTAAAATGAAGCGGCTAAATTAAAATTATTTTTAAAGGCAAAAATAAATTTTTGGAAAAATAATTTTTGGTAAATTTTGCAAAATGATTTACGTCAATGTTTTTTATTTTAATTTTTAAATTTAATTTTTTATTTGATGTTTAAACCCCAAAAAAGCCGTTTATTCTAAAAACTGCTGGTATTTTATTTTTCAAAAGCAAGTATTTTGTTTCTTTCAGCATTATAACATGCAAAAAACATATAGAAAATTTATTTAAAATTTTTAAAATTGACTTTTAATTATTTAAACAGCAATAAAATAAATGCTTTTAAATTTAAAATGAAATTTGGAGATTCTTTCCTTTATTTAACTAAAAAAATATTTTTTGCAAGCATAATGATGAGGTAAATAATTAAAGGAAATTTTTATTTTTTTTAAAAAGATTTATTAAAAATTGATAATTTGAAACGAATTTGAGAGATCTCATATAAAATGTTGTATCCACTGTAGATCAGAGATCCTGATGTCTCGATTCCCGAAATTGGGAATTTTGCTTTTTTGTCGGCAGGATCTCTGCTTTAAATATAAATGTGTATGGAATTCTGGTCTCCGAGCAACATAATCTTCCGATGTCCACTCTAAATCCAACTTTTCCCATAAATCCACTGATATTTAGTGATTAATAGGTATATCGAGGGTGTTGGGTATTTTTCTAGTGTTGGGTATTTGCTATAGTAAAGCAGCTGGGCTATAGCTATTTCTCTCCTTTAGCTAGTGCAAAAGGTTAATCGGCGGCTGGGAGCGAACCAGCATCTTCAGTAGACCGGACTGATGTGTTAGCCATTACACCACGCCGCCTACTGCTCAGCCTTAGGAAATTAATAGCTATATGCTTTACACTATATTATTTCAGGAATTTATGTGGATCAAAGTAGATATCAAGTAATATCAGGTACTTAAGAGAAGATCAGATGAGATTATTTTGAAAATAAAATTTAAAAGCCGTTAAGAAAGTTAATTCTTATAGTAATCGAACTTGCGAAATTGCTTCTATTGTTTTAGGCTTAATCATACCCAACTCCAAATTAATCAACACTTAGCTGATCCCGACGAATCTTTTAGTATAAAAAGCAGATAAACTCCACAAATCTGATTCAATTTTCTTCAAAATATCTCTTGAATGGCTTCTGTCTCTTTCTTCGTGCGGTTTGTGGCTATCTTGTTGTTGGTTGTCAGCATTGTCTATTGTGACGTGGTTGGGCATGGCAAGCATGAGCTGGTCAACGGGAAGATTGCAAAGTTGCGGGGAAACACAAAGATAGCCGAGAAACCTGAGGATCTTGAACTCTACAAAAATATGCCGGGCTCCTGTGATGTTGAGATGGATAAGGAAGGAAATATGTAACTTAACAGATAAAGTTAAACAGAAACAATTTCCTCATTTAACAGAATACTCTGGTACCTTAAACATTCCAACACAACGAAGAAAGGATGCTCGATTGACCTTGTCTCAAAACATGAAGATGATATCACCCTAGAATTTGGTGTCCAACACAATAAAAACTTAAACGATTGTTTGGCAGACAGCGGTAAACATGATCGGAATGAATCAAGAACAGGCAATATGTCAGCTATGACTTCTAATTTGTGAGTTTTATGGAAAATTCATTAAAAGTTTAATTTTTAGGTTGGCCTTCTCTTTCAGTCTGAAGAACGGCGAATTCGAAAGAGTGAAAGGAGGATATGCGGAAAAACATGGAAGCTTTTGCAGCAATGCTTCGTTTTGTCACAGTAGTAAAGGGAAATGTTTGGAGGTGGCTGATTATTCTATTGGATGGGCTCGAAGTGAGGATTATGTCCAAACTACAATTCAGCTAGGTAATTGCTCCGGAGTCTCCAAACTCGGACGATTATTTTATTTCTAGTTGGTGAGAATCGTTTCTGGACGTGTAATAAACGTGACCACAAGCATAATCAGAATAATGAGGCATCCAGCGATCTTTATTATAATTTTGATAAAAAGGATTTTGAGTTTCCAGAATGTCATTCAATCTCAAACAAATCCTTCCGTTGCTTCAAGAAAGAAAATATTCGCAAACCGGAACTATGGAAAATTACGGATGAAGACTATACCAATAAAGAATACAGTAGCCTCTTTACTTTCCACATCCTGCCAACATCTTCAATGCAAACAAGTATGCAAAATATTTGGATTAAATGTTATGAGGATGCCGATAAGGAGGATTGTAAAGAAAATGCGACATTTCAACAGTGTGACAAAATGTTTGTGGAATTTGTAAGTTGGAGATTTGTTAAAATTAAAGAGATTTTCTTATCGTTTAGGGTAAAATCTCCTTCAAAATGCTTGTTCCTGATAATTCAGTCAAAACAACGAAAATTAGTAAAATTGAAAGTGTGGAAAGTACAGATGCTTGGGAAACTGAAGAGGAATCGAGTTCAATGCCAGCCATGTCAACTGAAGAACCGCTCTGGAAAATTGAGAGGCGTCTATGGAGAACACCTTCAACACCTCCTCCCAGAACACCTTCAACACCTCCTCCCAGAACATTCCCTAAAGTCACATTCGACTTCAGTTGGACTAGCAAGACTCCAGAGAAGAAAAGTTCGTCCGGTGTTCTAATTATCATGTGCTTCATGATATTGTAAGGAATTATGTTTTGGTAAAAAAATTTTTTTTCAATTTTCAGTCTTATGTTATTCATTGCTGTCTTCATCATTTGCACGGCAACCGCGTTCAATGAAGGATAATAAAATGGTTGGTAAAGGATTTGTTAAATAAAGAATTGTTTTGATATTTGTGATGTAAATATGTATGTATGTATATATTCATTCTATTTATAAATGTAATATAGTCTGACTCACTTATTTACTACTCGTTTTCCGATTCTTTGAACAGAACTGAAATTTCGGATATCCATTTTGTTTCTTGTTTTATCCTCTATCATTTAATCATTATTTGATCTCATTATCTTAAATTTGAATAAAGTTATGCCAAAAGTAGTGTGCCCGGTTACTTTTGGGTCACCCTGTAGTAAAACTCGTTAAAAATTTTTTTAAATTATGTACATGAAGTATGAGGGTGTTTAATGTTTTAGTAGGGTAAGACTATTCTACATATTAAATAAATATACATATTTAATAAATAATTATTTAGAAAATTAATTAACGTATATTAATCATTGACTATTAAATAAATAAATATTTTCTTTAGCTTAATTAAATTGATAGCTTTTGAATCAAGTATAAAGAATCCATTTTATTAAAATTTTTGTTAGTAATTGGTGAAATTTTATTAATTTTTAGCTAAAGGTGATGAATTTAAATAATTAATTTTGAAATATACATAAAGAAATCCCCCTTTTCATTGACAAAAGAAAAAACCGAATAGAGGAATGGGCCGGGTTTAACGAGAGAAAAACCCTCGACCCGATTTTTTTCAACCGGTCCCATCCCTGATGCAGAATGAAAAAAGAATTATAGAAAAATGAATATAAAGCTCGAAAATTTTAAAAAAGACATAAATCTTTGTTAAAAATTTTAAAAATTATAAATGCACACAAGGCCTGAATATGAAAAACTTCCACCACATATTCCAGAGCAACAATCAGTTGATTTTGTACAAGTAGAACCAACAGTTAAACATTTTTTACATTTAGAATCAACACATTTAAATCCATAACAACACTTCCACCCATAATCATCACATTTATTCCCTTCGTGTACACAACCAGATTTGAAGCATTGATATTGATATTGTCCATCTCTTATTTTGGTATTTTTACAATTTAGCCCTCGACAACATTTTTGATCATTATCATCGCATAGACTATTTTGAATAGCACATTCTGATTTGTTACATGAAATAATACAAAAATGAAGTAAATAGAAATAATAAAAATATTCATTGATGACATGATTTTTGAGAAAATTCTTTCTATAAAATGATTTTACGAATCTCAATAATTTTTTATTTGTTCTAAATACCGATTACCGTATTTTCTCGATTAATTCCCCTGGGGAATTATTTTTTCAACACTTCCTTGGCATGGGGAATTAATCGAGGTAGGGGAATTATTCGAGTTTTCGTATTTGAACGTGCAGTAGGGTATTTGGGGGAGGGGAATTATTGTTTCAACCCAACTCTAGCATGGGGAATTAATCGAGAGGGGGAATTATTCGAGGGAGGGGAATTAATCGAGAAAATACGGTAATTAGTATAGAAATATTCTAGAAATAAGTAAGTGTCAGAGCTGTTTTGAAATAAAAAAATCTTCGAAAATCCGAAATCAAAACTGATCAAAATCTTCAAACTTAAAAATCTAAAGAAAAATAACTCGAAATGAAAAGTAAAAAATTTAAAAAAATGGAAAATAATTATCAAATTTTTGGTGAACATACTAGCGCTCAGTTAACTTTTTTTTTAAATTCAATAAAGCTGGAAAAAAGTTTAGAAGGACCTTGATGCATTCTAGCAAGAATTAAACATATTTGGGTATATTTATGGTTGTCGGATATCCCCTGATATCCATTAAACTCACCTGCTATCTGTTGGGGATTTACTGAAATTTGGGAGAAATTTGGGAACTTATTTTGAGAATTTTGTAAGGAAGAAGGAAAATCTAGCTAAACGCTTTTATTAAAAAATATTTATTAAAAAATTAAATAAAATCTGAAAATGACTGAAAATGAATAAATTTAAAAATTATTTTTAAAAGCTTATAGAGCGAGGAGAATCAATTTTAGCTCGTTTTTCTAAATGGTTAAATTTAAAATTTAATTTTAAAAAATCGTTTAAAAACTTAATCAAACATTTAAAGAATTAAGCTAAAATTGATTCTTTTTCTATTAATCATTTTTAAAGGATTTTTGGCCAGGCGATATTTTCGAATATACGGAACCGAAGGTATCTCTTGTTAAAAATAAAAACGCAACAAAAGAACATGATTTAATGTAAATAACGTAAGAAGTAAATTGGAGGGATCAGGAGGGATATGCGGGATTAAGAGAAATATTAGTGGATTTTTATTAATATTAGTGGATTTATGATTAAGAGGGAAATAGAGATTAAAAGGATTTGGTGAAGATAACTTTCAGAAAAAATTATTTTAGTTTTTTAGTTTTTAGGTAATTTAAAACATTTAAATTTGGTAATATTCTAACAAAATATTTTCAAAGCGCAATTATTTTGAGTTTTTCTTTGAATTTTTCAGCATACATATATTACAAACAATGAAAAACGCAGCGAATAAAAACAAAATAAAAAGTCTGGCGCGCCCTTTCGATGGCATTTTTTAAATAAATATATTTTAAAGTCCTGATTATAACACAATTTTTAGTCAACAATTTTTATTTTTAACATTGGGAAGAATCAACAAAAATTTCCATCAAACATAGATATTGTAAAAAATAAAAAGATGTCTAAAGAAATTGAAAAAATTTTCTTTCATGACCCTAAAAGAAATTTACAGAGTATATAAAGAATTAAAACTTGATTGTAAAGTGGAAAATGGAAAGAATTTAAAAAAATGATGAATATTTCCTTTTATAAAAATTAAATCATGTCAATGGTCATTCCATGCAGCACATACCCTTCCATCGTTTCCATCATCCACACAATTTCCTGAGCAACAATTTAATGGCGAGATACAAACAGCACCATTATGTGAGCATTTTGTACATGTATGAAGATAACATTTAAACCCATAACAGCACATCTGACTTTTATCGTCGCAGTACTTCCCTGGTTTAATACAATCGCCATAGAAACATTCAAATTCAAATAGAGTATTAGGCATTCTAGCATTTTTACAATTTAGCGATTTGCAACATTTTTTATCACTATCATTGCATACTTGTTTATGTTGACTACATTGTTGTTGACTTGAAGTAAATAAAACAAAACTAATATAAATAAAAATTATTAAAATATTTATTAAAAATATCTTCATTTTTTTAGAAATATTTTTTCTAGAAAAACTGCAAATTGAATAATTTTTTTATTTATTCTAAATAAAAATTAATTATTAAAAATGCTTAAAACTAAAAATATTTGGTACTATGCGTTTATATGCCCACACGTCCGCAAATTTTGTCCGCACATTTTTCCTTTTCCTTCTCCTCACAAGGATTAGAAATGGTCAGGTATTAATAAACCCCCATTTTCTTTGTCTTCTCCTTCTTTTCTCCTCTCATTTAGATTAAAATGGTAAAGTAAAAATAAAACAATGTTTAGAAATTATTTCGAGGTGATTGCAGGAAAAATTCAGTTGGTTATAATTTTGTTTAAAAACATTGAATAAATCTGATTTTGGTGTTATCGACAGAGCTCGACGAGTTCAATAAAATGAGCTATCGTTTGCATTTTCGTATTTTCACACCAAACCGAGCTTACTTCCCCATTGTTTTTGACCATTTCGAGCCATATATCTCGGTCCTTATTATCGGACCTTCTTCGAGCACAACTAGTTTAACTAAGCTTTCCGAGCTGTTTCGAATGACACCATAATATTTCGACCTGGAGAAAAAAGGGCATATATAGGTGAAGAGTGCCAAATTCTTACCTCTATCATTACTTGACCATTTTAATCTAAATGAGAGGAGAAAAGAAGGAGAAGACAAAGAAAATAGGGTATATTAATACTTGACCATTTCTAATCCTTGTGAGAGGAGAAAGGAGAAGGAAAAGGAAAAATGTGCGGACAAACATTTGCGGACGTGTGGGCATATAAACGCATAGTACCAAATATTTTAATAATAAAATAATTTTGAAAATATCAGTTTTAGTTATAACTTCGTTCCTTAATTTTCATGAAGCTTAAATTTAGAGTTAAATTTTTTGATTGTAAGGAAAATGGAAGATCTGGGAGCAGGTCAACTTACCGCAAGCCCAACTTACCGCAGAGCTATAACTTCATTCAGAATTATCGAATCTGGGACGCCCTGTATGGTTCGACGCGCCTCGACGAGTTGAATTGAAACATACCAAGATGTCTCTTATTCAACCATTTTGAACGAAGTTATAACTCTGCGGTAAGTTGGGCTCGAGGTAAGTTAGAATGTACCCGGAAGTTCTAGTTAACTTCATTTATTATACGATTATATTTTTTCATATTTCATTTTTAAGAATTTTTAGTGGAGCCCCGAACTCCGACCAGCCCTTCCCTGCTAACTCAGATCCCTTACAGTACCGACCTCGATCGTCGGGGTGCTACCCAATTTAAAATAAACTGCTTAAAGGTAGCAGAATACTTTTACCTCTCCCACTAGCTTAGCAAAAATATCTTTAAGCCTTATTTCTTACTTAAAAACTAAATTTTACTTTTTAAAGTTAATTATATTTTATTTTGAGAAAATTTTATATTTTTCTGATAACAAATAAAAAAATTATTGAATAAAATTCAAAATAAATTGGCTAAGCTGGATTAATTACTCATTTTTATAAGCGTATAAAACGAGCAAGAATCCACTTAGTTCAATTTTCCATCATATTTTTGAACCAAAGTTTTTAAATAATTTTTTTCATTTTTAAATTTAAGCATTCATTTTTTGCTGTTTAAACAATAAAAATAGCCGTTTATTCTAAAAAACCTATGATTTTGTAAGAAAAATAAGTATTTTGAACCAAAAAGACCAAAAACAAGTATTATGAACCAAAAAGTATGGGCAAAAAAATCTAAATTTTTCCTATTTTTGAACTTAAATCTAAAAAAAGATATATTAGTGAAGTGGGCATATGAAAGAAAATAAGTACAAGATATTCCTTCCATCTTCTCTAAATCTTTAATTGTTAAACCAGCGCTCCAATTTATACTTAATTTGAATTGGAACAACAGGATTTTTTTATTCAACAATTTTATTTGATAAAAAAATTCATAAAAAATTTCCAAAAAGTTGTGTCATTAATACATGTTATGGCCAAATTCCCGTTTTTATTAATTTTCATTTCTGTTAAAACTTTTTATGAATAATTATTAGCTTATTTTTATAATAATTTCTTTTGTATATTCTTTTTATCAAAGACTTTTCCCACTTTTTTCAATTTTTCATTAACATTTTTTCTCTCCAAGATTTTTTTTCTTATTTTTTATTTTCCCTTTGTTAGGCACTAGCGATTCGAGAGTTGATCAAATATCCCTCCAAATCCAACGATATCTTTTTGATCCCTCGATGCCACGCACAAGTCCTTTGATATTAAGTTTAATCCTTCAGAATCCGCAGTATCCCTCTGAATTTTTTTAATCTTATTAGATTCAAGCCAATCAAAATATCCAAGTGAGTGAAGTCTATCAACGGGGTCTCGAATTTATTAGGCATTTTAGGCACGATCTAAAAAAGGCCGAAATTCAAAAAGTTTAAGCCAGAGAAACAGAAAAAAATCGGGGTGGGCTTATAATTTTGCAACGTCTCTTTTGTAGATAATTTATTTTAAAATAATCTTTGCTTTTTACACAACCTTGCATTTTTGTTATCATATGATCGTTGAAAAAGTTATCATTCTCTTTACTCTTTTAGACAAACATTACAAAAATTCTTATTATTTTTACTTTCATTTAATATGTATTAGTTGCAAAAATTATCTAAAATAAATTTATGGAATTTTAATTTTTTATTTTATTAAATTTATTAATCAATTAAATAATTTAGTTATTTTTGTTATCAAAATGGCAGAAAAACAAAAACAAAATTCACTTTTAAGAGAAATTCGGTGGGGTGTTGTTGGTAATTTTTTGAGAAAAATTTTCTTTACGCATTTTAAAATAATTACTACCTCCATTTATACCCTCACACAAATCGAATTCCAATTTTGACTCGTTATAATCGAAGAGGTGTTATAATGAATGATATATTGTGAATGAATTTGGACTACTTCCTAGGGTTGTTCGTTATTATAATTAAGAAGGTGATTCTATAACCAGAATGAAGTGATTGAGAGTGAAGAAATTAAGACGAGATTCTAGTTTATATGAAAGATATACCGTAAATGCTCTAAGATAAGCCCACCTCTAATATTAGCCCACCCAAGGATCCTGTTGGAAAATATAAGCCCTGGGATTATATTAGAGTATTTACGTATTCTAAGTTTTATTAACTGTTAGATATATTAATTTTTAGATTTATTTTTCCTTTAACTTTTTAGGTGTTGGCAAAATTGCGAGTGATTTTGTTCATGCTATTACTCTTTGCCAAACACCAAATAAAGTTATAAAAATTAAAAATAAATTTTATTTTAAAGATTAAAGCTGTAGCTTCTTCAGATTCTCTTGAAAGAGCTCAAAAATTTTGTAAACATAATTTATTAGACAAAAATGAAGTTGACTGTTATGGAACTTATAATGAATTATTTAATGATGAATTTATTGGTAATTTTTTAAGAAATGAGCCCATTTTTAGATAAAATTTGGCCTCAATTCTACAAGAAAGGGATAATTTCCAAAGTTTCCTCAACCTTCCTTTTAGAGACAGAAACCCATAAAAAGTTAAAATTTGTAAATGAGAAACAGGATTTGGCCATTGGATGAGATAAGTCGAGTTTTAAAAATTCCAGCACTTTCTTTAACGGACAGAAATCCAAAAAAGTTAAAAACACCGAAGATCATTACGAAATTATTCGATTTTTGCAAGGAAAAGGATTGGGCCAGAAATGAGATGAGTCTAGATTTAAATATTTTTCTTGAATCTGTTTAAGATAATCTGACTTACTCTCGTATAGACCCTCGACTCACCCTCGTTTTTTATTAATTTGACAAGTAATACAAAAAAACTAAATTAATTTTTAAATTTAAAGACGTTGTTTATATATCCAATTTAAATCATCAACATAAAGAGACTGTTCTAGCAGCATTAAATTCCAATAAAAATGTTTTGTGTGAAAAAACGTTGGCTGTAAATAAATTAGAAGTTGAACAAATGGTTAAAAAAGCAAAAGAAAAGGGACTTTTTCTTATGGAAGTAAATTTTGATTGAAAAAAAAAAATTTAAAATTGTTTTTAAAGGGTTATTGGACTCGATGTTTTCCTTTATGGAATGATATTATGTCTAATCATTTAAATAGTTTGGGCAATACTGAACTTTTGTCTGCCGAATTTGAATGTCCAATTAATGTAAACTTTAACTATTATTTGTCTTTGTTTTTACCACTGAATATTAAATTCAGTTCTGGGTATTGAGATTTATTGGTTCCTGGTCCGACCTTCTTCCAACACTTGGCTCCAGCTCCGGCTCTGGGATTTTCAAAATTTTAGATCCGCCGGAGCCGGCTCTGAGCGTTCCTGAGCTATCTCCCAGAGCTCAGACCCATTACTGATTAAGTTTCCAAAAAAATTTTTTTGTCCGCAAATACTAAAGTCCGCAAAATTTTTGCGGACAATATTTTTAAAATTCCCCAATAAAATTTTTATTTTTTGTTCTTCTCATGTTATACTTAACCCTTAACTTTTATCATTTTATTTAAGCGTGTAGATACAACTTCTGGAATAAAAGACGGAGGAGAAGGTTATTTGTTAGCTTCTGGTTGTTATTGTTTAATGATTGCCCAATTAGTATTTAAGTCAGAAAAACCTTTAGAAATTATTGTTAATGGAAAATTAAGAGAAAATGGATTAGATTGTTGGGCTAATATTTTAATTAAATATTCTGATAATAAATTGGCCAGAATTTTTTATTCTGGGGAGCATCGAGGTGATGGAGAGTTAAACATTTATTGTGAGAAAGGGAATATTAGGGTAAGGAATTTTTTAATTTTTTATTTTAAAATAATTTCTCTGATTGATAATAGATAGCTTTGCTAAAATCTGTCAGCAAATAAAAATTTTTTGTCCGCAAATTTAAAAATTTGTCTGCAAATTTAAAAAAATTGTCCGCAAAATATTTGCGGACAATTTTTTTCTAAATTCTATCCGCAATAATACATGCATAAATATGCACATACTAATTTTAATTAAATTTTTGCAGATCCCAGAATACTTTTGGTGCCCAGAAGAGGCAATAATTCGTCGTTATCCGGACCCAAAAACAGTTCCACATGTACTTTCAGTTAAACCAACAACCGAAAAAATAAATAATTACTTGCCAGAATTTAATTTATTTAATTATAATTACCCCAAAACTGCTGGACTTTTTTATCAGATAGATCATGTTAGTAATTGTTTGAGAGAAGGAAAGAAAGAAAGTGATTTGATGACTTTAAATGATTCAATTTTGTTGGCTGAGACTTTGGATGAAATTAGAAGACAATTGGGGGTTAAGTACCCTCAAGACGATTTTTAGATTGATTTTTAGACGATTTTTTAATAAAATAAATGTTTTTTAATAAATAAATAGGTATACTAAATTTGGTAAAATTCATGTTAGTAAGCCCCTTCGGGTACACCCCGATGTACCGCGAGCCCAATGTACCGCCGAGCTGTAATTTTGTCCAAAATTATCGAATCCGTGGCGCCCTAGTATGGTTCGATTCAGCTGGTCGAGACGCATGAACCATACCAGGGCGCCACGGATTCGACAATTTTGGATAAAGTTATAGCTCGGCGGTACATTGGGCTCGCGGTACACTGGCCTGCTCCCGCCCCTTCTATTTATTAAATGTGGTAAATTTAATCAGTCATCGAAAAAAAAAGATTTGAGCAAATGCTAATAAATTACTAGACTATTTTGATTACTTAGATAAGTATCTTCAAAAGACTTAGATAAATATCTTCAAATAAAAATCCTTTAAATTTTTGGAAGTTAAAGAGTTATATAGTCCAAATCCGCTATTAATCCAAATTTTAGGATATCCACGATATCATCGGAATTTTATCAAAAATGGGTTGAAACAAGTTTATGTTTCGAGATTTGAAAAAGAGTTCTTAGAGAGAAATTATATAAGGGGTATACATAAACGTTGGTATGCCCAAAAAAATTTTAGAAAATCATTAGATTTCACAATAGTCAATAAATCCTTAAAAATAAATAAAATTTTATTTTTCTTCGATATGTCAAGTCATGAGCTTTTCTAAACGAAATTTTGTTTTTAATTGAATAAACAAAAATAATAAATTTTACCAAAAAATAAAATTTAAATTTTAGCCAAAATTGCCATAAAATACAAAAATAGAAAATAAACCCTTTCAAAACTCAACTTTTTGGGCAAAAATACCCAGTTGTTTATATATCACAAATAAAATTTTGTATCTGATGTTTGTGAGGGAATTCTTAAAGTAAAAAGTGCAGATTAGACAATAAATCATCTTAATTAATTAAATCATCCTTTTAATATATTTTTATTATAAAAATATTTTTGGAGGAATTTATTAATTATAGAAAAATTTTATTCATTAATTAAGAAAATATTAGACAGCTTTTACAATTTTATTTATCACTTTATAGGCAATTGACTGAAATTGGGTGCTTTTTTCAATTTATATCGAACTGGGTTTTCTTTCAAATAGTTCCATTTGTCGGGTTAATTATTCCTTAAAAATTAAAAAATAAAGACAAAGTAAAAAATTTAAAAGCAGAGATCTTAAATAAATTTAGGAACTTGCAGATCAGAGAAATCCTTGATCATTGATTGGTTTAAGTTAAATTTAGAAAAAAATTAGAGTTAAATTTTAAAAAAAGAATTAAAATTAGACAACATTGGACCGAGATATAGGGCTCGAAATGGTCAAAAACTATAGTGGTGGGTAATACTTTTTATGCGAGATTAAGAAAATGTTCACCCTACCCTCTTCCACAATTAATTAAAAATTCGTTAAAAAGTACAATTTCCTAATATTTGAAAAAAATATTTTTCACATGCACTTTAATTCTCACAAACAGACTTATTATTTTTAAATAATATTTGTACTTTATTAATAAAATTATTAATAAATTACTCATTAAAGTTCTTGGGAATATTTGCCATAATTTTGTCAGCTATACTTTATCCGACTTCTACGAGGATTGGTATCTTACTATAAAATCTTTTAACTTATTGCATGAATATAAGATCCATCTCCTTATAAATATTATTTTTAATTAAAATTAAAAAGCGGATTTAAGGATTGAAGGGGATTTAAGATAGACATCTTATATTTTAACAAGGTCTCGGCGTCTAGACTCCTTAGGCAGCTTTCCAAAAACCCAACAAATTTTTAAAACAACTGGATTTATCTACCTTAGAGATACATTTTTAGATATTAATTATAAAATATACTTTTCATAAATCCGACTTTATAAAATTAATCATTTAAAATTTATTAGATATGAAAATAAACTATAAATTATTTGTTTTCATTAAAATAATACTCTGTTTTGAATTTTATAAAATAATTAAAAGCAATCTTTATATTAAAATTGAGTGGAGAAAATATGAGAAAAGTTTGCCTCCTGAATTATTTAATAAACTTGATTTAACGGACAAAAATCGTTTTGAATTGAAACTTTCTGTATTTAAGAGAATAACAGATTCTGATAATTATGGATACACTATTCATTCAAAAATAACAGAAAGATATGATTATTGTAAATTTACTCAGTATGAATTATCTACAAACGAAAAAACGCCAATAGCTTTACAAAAAAATTATTATACTTTAGAGGTTTTGTTTAATAAACAGGTAAAAACACTGTTACATTTTAGTAGCTCTTTTCTCAATAGCAAAAAGAATTAAGAATTGGAGACGATTTTGAGAATTACAAGTGTTTCTTGATCGAAACCTATGAAAAATCTTTATAATCTAGTATCTCTCTTTAATCTAGGGGAAGGGAAATCCTCGGGGAACTGAGGGAGGTCCTCCCCTCCCCCCCCCCCCCCCCCGAGCCCCCGATCCTCGTACCTCTTTCCCGCGGGCCCTTCTTATAAGATCAGCCCCCGTTCCTCGTAAAAATGAACCCTGCTTTTATTCTTACTATAACGATAGATTGTAGAGAGCATAACCTCAACAAGGTCCTAGCTATTAGAAAACACTAATAATTTGGTTTTTTCTATGATATTTAACATTCATATTAAATAAAATGGAATAGCTCTTCATGGAACGGGCACAATCCAAAACACAACCGGATTGTCAATTAAATTTTGTAAATTGAAGTTTTTTAATTTTAAAGATTTTACTTGGGCCAGTGCAAATTGATGGGGGAACAGGCAAGGCAATCATAATTCCCTTGATTTCCTCAGAAAAAATAATATACAATTTTAACGATAAAAGAGAATTTTTGGATTTTGAGAGGCCTACAAGAGTGCTTAAATTTATTGTAAACAAATTTCAAGATAATCTGAAAATGAGTTTAATTTGTTCGACGGGACGAAGTTTTGTATTTAATTTATTAGAGGATTCAAATTATTATTCAACATTATATTATTATCGTCGTGTTTGCACTGCGGATAAATATTTGCTTATTATAGAGGACAATGAATATAATATTGTAGGTTGATTTAATAGAGCCGAGTCCGGCAACGAAATATATTGGCAGAATTTGTCTTTTAATTAGACAATATCGCTCTAAAATAAAACATTAAAGTTGCAAAATTTTAATTCTTATAATTAGAGTTGGGTTGGATCGGGTCCTGATTTTAAGTCGGGATCTCGATCCCAGACAACTCTACTTACAATGCCGGCAACTTCCCTTATAACGGTTACCGAATGGGTTGCCGCCGTGGTTTCAAATAACCCTGGTATCAATCTATATGCAACTTATTTAGCCTCCGATCCCAATTGAATGTGATGAAGCAATCTATGAAAATCAAATAGAAAATCTCTATATTATTACAATTCAAAATCTTGAAGGGAATAATCCAAATATTTCTTCATTATGTAAATTGAATAGAAATAATCCTCAAACAAAGAATATAAAAAAAATTAATTATGAACTGGAAAAATATAAAAAATTGAATAATAAAAGAAAACATGCTAGTAGTAGTCAAATTAATGAAACCACAAATAAAGATTCTATTGATCAATGTAGGATAGTTAACCAAAAATAAATTCGACTTTAAGTATAAGTTCAAAAAACTTAAAAATTTGTTACAATTTCTTACCTTTAGGGTTATTTTCGACTCCTTTTCAGGTAAATCACGGGTCATCCGAAACCATAATATTATTATACTCAAATCAAGACAAGCTCAAGCAAATAGTCCGAAAGTGTTATTAATTTTTAAATTTCAAATTTATTTTTAAATTTATATTTTAGCAACTGATATTGAAAATACGAGAAAAAATCAACAAGTGAAGGAAATCCAAAAGCAGATTGAGCAAGAACATTTTGATGGCATTAATTGCAGTAAAAATTTTAAAGGTATAAATATTAGTAGAATATGTTAATTTCTGATAGTCTGATTACTTTCGGTCTAATTCACAGTTGGATCTGTAGGCAATAACCGTATCTTGAAGCTCGTAATAAAATTCGCATTCACACTTTATTTGTTTTGATTACAAGAAAAATTTTTAATTTTAACAAAAAATTTTTACGATTTTGAGAAAGAAGGCCTGTACAAAATCCTAGCTTTTAGATATATGTATTATAGCTTTTATAATAATTCTCAGCAAACTAAATTTTCTTTTCATACACAAAATGTCCTTGCTTTTTATTATCAGCTGAATTTACCCCAAAATTTTTTTAAATAAAATACAGAGAAGCTTATCAATGATGCACAAAAACATGTGGAAACTTGCTCTAAAGCCATAAATAATTCACAAGATTTGTTAAAGTATATTTATGAAAATGAGAATTTAGTAAAGGATGGAGTAATTGATAATGAAGGAATTAAACGAATTGATAAATATTTGGAAGATATTAAAGTTAATATTGAATATTTGGA